TCACAGAGTGAGAATTTAAACCTTCCCCTGGCGAGGCAGCTATTTTCCATCGGCCCCCTCGAGGCCTCTCTACTCCCTTCCCGGTGAGGGCAGCTCGGCTTCTGGCCGAGACCCGAGGAAGAGCCATGCCTGACCCTGCCACCTCCTCCTCAGTGCCTCCTAGGCCCTCGGAAGGTTTTCTGAAATGACCATGGGAAACAGGGCCGAGAGAGGCAGGCCCTGGGCCTAACCCAGCTCCTCCCAGACACAGAGGGGCTGGCTGGGTCCTAAGACAGTAGGAGAATTCCCTTGGGGGTTCCCATTCCCACTCACCTGCTGTCTGCTGTCTCTATACCTATACCCCTTCACACACACACACCCCTCATACACAAGTTGCTCCCAGAGCTCAGTCTCCCTGCAAGAACACCTTCTCCCCTGGTCCCCTTCTTGCCCCTCCACCCTCAGAGCCTGGCCTCAGGGGTCCTGATAGCAGTCGGGACTGAAAGGTCAAGGACTTAAGACTCTAGAAGCCCAAAGCTCTGTTCTCACTAGCTGTGTGACTTTGGGCAAGTCACTTACCCTCTCTGATCTCAATTTCCCCCACCAATGAAATGAAGGAAATACTAGTACCTACCCCAACATCCTTATGAGGAGCAAATGAGTTCATTTATGTGACCTGCTTAGAACCCCATCAAGCCCCAGGGAGGGCTGGGCTGGTGTCAGTTCTCACATTACTGAATTCCAGGCAACATAACATAGTGGGAAAAGCATGGAACTTGGAGGCTGACAGACTTGAGTTCAAGTCCCAGCACCCCACTGACACCACTGAAATAAATACTTGTCTCTCATTTTCCTCCTCTACCGAAGCAGTTTATTGATAGAAACATACCCAAGAATGCTAACACAGGGCAGTGGGGGGGTGCCCACACTAAAAAGAGGACAGTGGCAGCTGCAAGGGGAGGGGTCCAGCTCCTGGCACCCGACCCCCCAGATTAACTGCTGCATTCTGGGGCCAGCCAGGGAAACTGGACTAGCTTGGAAAGGAAAGCCAGGGACAAGGCAGGAATTTGGGCCCCTAGGAGATGCCATAAATAGCCAGAGGGAGTCAGAGGGCCTCCAGGGAAGGGGGTGGGGGGGGGAGGAGCAGTGGGAAAGGAAACTGTCAGTCATCAGTCCAGGGAAATCCAGGGCACTCTCCCCAGTGTATGGATGTGGCAGGGGTGGAGGATAGCGTCTTCAGAGAGGAACACGCTGGGTCCTCTGCAGAGGACCACATCTGTACCATCTCCCAACATCACTCAGAAAATTTCCACCACACTGTTCATCCCCACACTACAGGTCTTCGGGAGCCGGCCCTGATTCCACATTTTCATCCCTTTGGCCATCCTGGAATACGAGCAATAACTCAGCCTGTGTCACAGGCAGGGACACTGAGGACCATCCAGAGATGCTAAGTAATTTGGCCAACATCATCACACAATGAATCGAGGTCTGAGATGGGAATATAAACACGGATCTTTCCCCCCTTCCAATCTAGGACATACATGTGTGTGTGCGTGCGTGCTAAGTTGGTTCAGACGTGTCCGACTCTTTGCAACCCTATGGACTGTAGCCCACCAGGTTCCTCTGTCCATGGGATTCTCCAAGCAAGAATACTGGAGTGGCTTGCCATGCCCTCCTCCAGGGGATCTTCCCAACCCAGAGATTGAACCTGTCTCTTAGGCCTCCTGTATTGACAGGCAGGTTCTTTACCACTAGTGCCACCTGGGAAGCCCCTAGGGCATACACTACAGCCAAAATATAAGATGATAGCTCATCAGTTGGTAAAGAATCCACCTGCAATGCCTGAGACCCCAGTTCGATTCCTGGATTGGGAAGATCTGCTGGGAAAGGGATAGGCTACCCTCTCCAGTATTCTTGGGCTTTCCTTGTGGCTCAGCTGGTAAAGAATCCTCCTGCAGTGCTTGAGACCTGGGTTTGATCCCTGGGTTGGGAAGATTCCCTGGAGAAGGGTAAAGGCTACCCACTCCAGTGTTCTGGCCTGGAGAATTCATGAACTATACAGTCCATGGGGTCTCAAAGAGTCAGACACAACTGAGTGATTTTACTTTCACTTTCACCCTCAGGAAGGAAGTCTTTCCCACAAGGGAACAGCGAGCTGAAAGGATCCCTCTCCCCACCCTCCCCACTGCAAGACATTTTACTCTTCTTAGTCCAGTAGCTGCAGCCGAAGTGGGAGATAATGCTTTAGAGATGCATCCATCAAAGCTAGCTGGGCACGGCCCTGGAAGTAGAATATAAGCTCAGAAGACCTGGACTTAAATCCTCATGTGATCTTATACAAATCACCTTTCTGAGCTGCAGGGCTCTAACCTGAAAAAGGAAGACAATAATACATACCCCTGTGAGACGGTTGAGAGGACCAAAGGTGATAATGAGAGCCTGAGTGCCCGAATGCCCCCCAAAGCTATTAAGACTGGGAGCTGCTCCTGGTGGGGCAGCACTCGAGTCCGTATTCTTAGTGTTTACTCCAGGAGTGTCTGGCTCTTAGAAGCCCTCAATAAATGCTGATCAAATGAAAAGATGAAGTAAACTCTTTGCATTTAAATGTTGGTTGTTTGTGAGATGCTAATTATAATAATAACATGTGTTTGTTATTTATCAGCTATCACTGCCTTTTCTTTGAGGACACAGGCACTACTACCACTATCCTGTGCCTTATATCCCTGGAAAAATGCCTGAAAAAAACAAATAACTTCTGGATAAGAATGCCAGAATTAGTAACAAGCCTAATAAGGAAGATGACCATATAGTTTGTCTGTACTGGGGCACTTTGGGAGTGACCAGGGAGCCAGTAACAATTATACCTGGACAACAGATATAAACTATGACAGATCAAAATGCTTGGGCATCTTACTCATAGGGTGCCATGCTGCCCAGAACTCTCTGGAGGAGAGAGCCCCAAATCCTCCCAACCATGCTGACTCCTATTCTCTAATTAGACCATGGAAAGGGTCCCCTACCTTCTCATCACCACCCCCCACTAGCTCTGGGAGCTATGTTCAGACTAGTTCCCCAACGTTCTTAGGCTCCTCATTTTCAGCCTCTCGGTGACTCTGACCCCCACCTTCTGTTGCCCTGAGAATATTTGCACTGCCTTAGACACAAAAACTCATGGCCCCAGCTCAGCACCCACCATGTGAAGAACAAAATTCATCCAGCCCCTCCTGAGGCTGTTCCAGCTCAGGGGTTGCTCCAAGGGCCCCCGTCATCTCTTGTTAGTTTCAATAGGCTTCTACCCAGGCCTTCTGCTTCTGCTGTTTCTCACCTTCACTCTGTTCTCAGCAAAGCTGCCTGAGCGATCCCACAAACATATGTCAGACCACGTGACTCATCTGTTCAAAGACAGTGTCTTCCTATCTCACTCAGAGAAAAAGCCAAGGTCCTTAGAACTGCCCCTAAGGCCCCAGCATACTTGTTAAGTCGCTAAGTCGTATCTGACTCTTTGCAACCCCAAGGACTGCAGTACACCAGGCTTCCCTGTCTTTCACTATCTCCTGGAGCTTGCTCAAATTCATGTCCATTGAGTCGGTGATGCCAGCCTACTTAGCCTTTGTTCATCTCTCTGGCCTCACCTCCTAAGACTCCCAAGCCACACAAATGTCCCTGCTTGGTCTTCAAACACACCAGGAATGCTCCCACCTCAGGACCTTTGCACCTGCTCTTCTGCTCCTTGGAACACTTCCCCCTTAGATATCCCTAGGATTATGTCCCTCAGCTTTTTCAGATCTTTTCTTCATTATTTCCTTTTCAAAGTTCTTCTCTGGCCACCCTATAAAAAATGTGTCACTCTGTCCCCCTTCTCTGCCTTTTCTCCTTAGCACTACCAAACAGACCATGTATATTACTTACCCTGTATATTGCCCAACCCTTGACAATACTGTATATTGTCAAACTCCAAGAAGGCAAAGATTTTCATTTGTTCTGTTCTTTGCCATGCCCCAGTAACTGAATCAGCCCTTGGCATATAATAGATGCTCAATAAATATTTATTAAACAAATAAAGGGCAAAATGAGAGGGAACACACACAGCAGTTGAATGTTTGACCTCAGGAATAAAAAGTCCTCGTTTTAATCCTGGCCCTGCCACTTTGGGGCTGATGACCCTAAACTGGGGCCTTAACCTTTCTATGTAAAATGGGGATAATCCACATGACCTCCCAGGATGGTTGAGAGCATTAAGTCCGATTTCACACATAAAACACTAAACTCACTGCCTGGCCTATTTCCAAAACTCTAAGCTTAGTCAATGGCAAAATAGTTACTTCTGGAGGCTCCCAGTGGATGTGATGTTGCATTAGGTATCATTATAGGCAAATCAGCATGCACTCCCTTTGAGTAACAACTCAGTGTCTTCCCCATTGGCAGTACTTATGCCCCTCACCCCATCTCAGGACCCTTCTTCCCTGAACCCAAGTCCCCCCAGTCAGGCTGGCCTGGGTCCCGTTCAACACAAGCCTTGTCCCGCTTAAACCTCTGAGAGAGCTCCCCTCCGAAAACTCACCCACCCTAGGTCCCTTCCGAAATCTCACCAGGCGAGCTGGGTGGGGGGAAAAGAAAAGAAAAAAAGGTTAGGGAGGAAGAGAAAGAGAATGTGAAGACCTGTGTAACCCGGTGCAGGGGGCAGGGGTGCAGGCCAAGCCATCCCCACCTGCCAGCTTCCTGTCTCTGCTTCTGATAAATAGGGGACACCGATGGCCAGATTTTCCATTCCCCCCATCCCCGCACCCGCCGTCACTCAATTAAAAAAAGATAGAGCGAGAGAAGCTGGGGGAGGGGCCTCTGGCTATAAAGCCTGAGGGCCAGGGGCTGAGCGCACTCGCCTGGCCTGCCCCATCCTTCTCCCGTCACCCCAGGCAGATTTAGCTGCTGACAGCTGCTTGGGACTCTGCCGCCAGGCCTTGGCGCAGACCCGCCGCCTCTCCCCTCTTTCTCATTGACTCCAGAGCCTCAGCCCCTCCATGGCTCAGAAAGAAGAGGCCGCGGCGGCCGCAGCGGTCGCGGAGCCCGCCTCCCAGAATGGCGAGGACCTGGAGAACTTGGAGGACCCCGAGAAGCTGAAGGAGCTGATTGAGCTGCCGCCCTTTGAGATCGTCACCGGGTGAGAGCTGGGCGTGGGCTGGGCTCCCCCTCCCCAGCCCGAAGCAGCGGGGAGAGGCTGGGGGACTTGGGGGAATAGTAGGGGTCAGGGTCACCACCGACAGAGCGAGAGCGCACAGGTGTGCACCACGTGGGAGGCAGCAGCAGATCTCTCCGGGCTTCTCAGAGTGACACCTGGGATCAGCCGAGGTAGGGACAACTCTGGGGAATCGAGGACCCTGAGACGGAAACCAGCCCTGGGGCTTCCTGGTGTTGAGGCGTCACCTGCCCCTCTGGGTAAAAGCAGTTTAGTCCCAGGGAATTTGGTGAGAACACGGGATATCGCCAGCACGTTTCAATACAGTCCCAGAGTCCCTCCTCCTGCAACTTCTGTCCCTGCTTCTGAGTGGCCTCTCTACCCGTAGGCCTCCCTCTCTTTCTTTAGAGCTTCTCCCTGAAGTAGCAGAGCCTAAGACAGGAAAGACAGATCCATCCTTTCCCAAGCTAGTGAGAAGCAGTCTGTTTTTCTTGCTGCATCATCTCTGAATCTCCCCAGGGGCTGAGATTCACATCGACCCCCAGGGAAAAAGAGAGGTTACAGGCCAGGTAACACAGGCCAGGGCCAGGGCTTCTGGACAGAGGAGGTGTTCCTTCACCCTCCACCACAGCCTGGAGGAAGCGGGACCTAGAGCAGAGACTGCTGAGGCTCCAAACAGGGTCCCCCTGTCGTGTCTAGATTATGCCACCTCCAGGAATAAAACAAGGCAGTCATCCTCCTCTTCTCTCTCTGTCCCTTTGGCAGAAGATTCTGCTAAATTCCTAAATGAAGAATAAGAAGGGAATTTGTTGTTGTTTAGTCGTGAAGTCATGTCCGAGTCTTTGCGACCCCATGGACTGTAGCCCGCCCAGGCTCCTCTGTCCATGGGATTTTCCAGGCAAGAATACTGGAGTGGGTTGCCATTTCCTCCTCCAGGGGATCTTCCCCACCCAGGGACTGAGTATGTGGGGGCGTAAGGATTCCTTCTTGGGAGTCTCCCTCCAGCAATGCCCACAGGCAGCGGAGGGGTGGCAAGAAGAGAAATTCCGGGAAGAATGGAGGCATGATGCCTTCAAGGGCAGAGGAGCCCTGGGAGGTGATTGGGACTTGCTGTTTGAAGCTGGGCAAGTGTTTTCTTCCAGTCCTGGCCTGGCTGCAATTTTTTCATTTGCAACCTTAGGAAGTTGTGTTAGTTGATTCCCAAGGTTCCTTCCGGCTGAGACATTTTCCGGTTTCTAAGAGGACCTGAAGGAAACGGATCCTAGTTCTTGAGGCAAGGCTTCAGGGAAGAGCCCCTGAACTTGCATTTGTCCGTGGCCAACCGAGTAACGTCACCCTCATCCCAGGATTAAAGGAGCAACAGGGCACAGATTAATATAGACACAGGGAGAGCCTAGGGCCGCCAGGCTGGGAGAGTCCTCCATTCCAGTGGCTTTTTATGGAAAGAGATCCTTTTTCTAACAGCTAAGTACGCTGGCCCATGCTGGCCTTGGTCTCCCTCTCACACACACAGGCACACCCACTTGTGCTGTGTCGTAATCTCCCCGGCAGGGTCAGTTCAGAAGAGAATTAGAATGTTTGCTGAGTTGAACATGCTTTGGGGGCTCAGGGTGGTGGGTTTTGAAAGATTAAATCCTCTAATGTCACGGACACGCGTCCGGGGCTTTCTGATGCCGGCACACTTTCACACGACTGAGCTCATTCCAGCCTCACCATGAGGCTGAGAGAGGAGCTGTATCATCACCACCACACCCCACACCGATGGGGAAACAGAGTCAGGGAGGTCCAGTCACACTCCTAGGCCACAGAACCAGTAAGAGGCACGCTTTCTGACTCCAGCCTCACGTCCGTCTCACTGGTCTCCCAAACAGGGCTCCCACCTGTCTCCATCCTCCAGGTGGTGAGGTGCAAAGGCTTCCCTGAGCCAAGGCTCCCCAGTGAGGCACAGGAGGGCCAGTTTCCGGACGCTCTGAGAGCGGTTCAGGAGGGAGGGGGAGCCCGTCGTATTTCCCGGCCACAAGGAACAGCTGTGGAGATCTGTCTCCCCGGCCCCTGCGGATAAACAGACAACTTAAAATAGCCTCGAGGCGCGGCTGTGTCTGTGAGGGGACAGGCCCAGGGAAAGCTTTCCTCTTCTCCGCTCTCCAGGTGTCCTGGCATCAAAGGGCCAGCAGAGCCTGGCCTCCCCGGGGGAGGGTCTCATCACACTGCTCCTTGGAACAGGGCCCCAGACTAGAGCAGCAGACAGCTTTTGAGCAAACAGTCTGAAGAAAGGGGGACTACCAGGTATGAATAAGGAGAAACGTGCCCACTTGTTGTGATTCTGGTTTGAATAGAGCACTCGGGATAGAAAGCAGGGAATTCCCTGGTGGTCCAGGGGTTAGGGTTGGGCACTTTCCCTCCCAAGGGCCCAGGTTTAATCCATGGTCAGGGAACTAAGATCCTACAGGCTGCACGACACGGTCAGAAAAAAAAAAAAAGAAAGCAGACTTAAGAACATTAAAAATGATGTGTTAGAAAATGCTAGCAAAAGGTCTATAGTAGCAGTGGTGTGTCCAGGCCTGTTCACGCCTCTCAGCTGAGAATCCATTGGACGCATCTCTTACCACGTCTGTGTTCACTGACTTCCTGTTGGTTTCTTGAAATCTCCATAGTGGGTGTGTAGACGGGAAAGCAGCAAATGTTAGAAATCAGGGCTTTTACCGAAAAAAAAGGCACTGAAAGGGAGAGCCCTCTGAACAGGAATGGAAGAGCAGAGGAGGGATGTGCTTAAAAGGGTAAGACCTGAGGCCCAGAGAAGGCACCATACATCAGTACCAGGTTTAATATTCGAAAGTCAACCATTGTCCAAAGAGAGGTTAGATTACTCAATCTGTCTTTTGGATGAGGAAACCAAGCCTCGGAGAAATAATTTGCCCAAAGCTAGTGGATGAAGTCAGGTTTCCCAGATGGCGCTAATGGTAAAGAACCCGCCTGCCCATGCAGGAGATGCAAGAGACTTGGGTTCAGTCCCTGGGTTGAGAAGATCCCCTGGAGGAGGGCATGGCAACCCACTCCAGTGTTCTTGCCTGGAGAATCCCATGGACTGAGGAGCCTGAGGGCTACAGTTTATAGGGTCACAAAGACTCAGGCACGACAGAGCAACTAAGAACACAAACACGAAGTGGATGGAGTAGGATGTGAATCCCAAGACTGGCTGACTCCAAATCACCACACTGCATCCAGAAAAAGCCATAAAGAGAAATCTTTTATGCAAATTCAACAAAAAGTTTCTGAATAGGAGTCATTTTACTCACTGCCTGTTTTCCCCAGAAGTATTTAATCTCCATGATGACAAGGATTCTGCCTTTTAGGTGTTTTCTCCCCAGCACCAAGAGTGGTACCCAGCTCCTAACTGGTGCTCAATAATTATTTGTTGAATAAATGAGTGAACTCATGATTGAGTGCCTATTGTGTGGTAGGCTCTCTGTCAGACATCCGAGTAGGGAATTAATGGGGAGAGGGCTACTTTTTGTAACTTTGAATTTTATATTGGAGGACTTCCCCTGTGGCTCAGATGGTAAAGACTCTGCCTGCAATGCAGGAGACCCAGGTTCAACCCCTGAATCAGAAAGATCCCCCTGCAGAAGGGAATGGCAACCCACTCTAGTATTCTTGCCTGGAGAATTCCATGGACAGAGGAGGCTGGTGGGCTACAGTCCATGGATTGCAAAAAGTCGGACACAACTGAACGACTGTCACCTCATAACTGATTAACGATGGTGTGACAGTTTCAGGTGGACGGCAAAGGGACTCAACCATACATACATGTGCATCCGTGGTCCCTCAACCCCACTCCCATCCAGGCTGCCACATAACACTGAGCAGCGTTCCCTGTGCTATACTGTAGGTCCTTGGTTATCCACTTTAAATATAGCATTGTGTACACATTGACCCCAAACTCCCTAACAGTCAGGGAGGGCTTCTTGATGGGAGAAGTTCTGGATATATTATTAATATATATACAAAGATCCAGCAGCACTAGGCTCACAAGAGAATTCCTCTGGTTCTTGCTTGCTTCTGAACTCAGCTTGCTTGAGGGAAGCTCTGGGCACCAAAATGGGCTGACTCCCCATCCCTCCATCCCAGCTGCAGCTCTGCCTGGCACCACCCCTTGCTGTGTGTTTGTCTTTATCTCTAGTTACGTTGTGTATGATTTTACATGAAGCTGAACCTGCTATCAAAGGGGTTACTCTGGAACAGAGATAAATGACACAGGCAGTGAGTCTCCTTTCAGCCACTTCTTTAGCCACCAGTAGTTTACTCCACCCATGTGAGGAGAGAGAGAGAGAAGCAGGGTTCAGAGAAGGGCTGGGCCAGGAGTCTGGGGTCTTCAACGCCACTATTAATGCCGTGGCTGCTTGCCCCTCACCTGGACTCCTGAGCAGGTTGCGAAGGCTTGTTTCATAAAGGACAGAAGATGGTCACCGACTCTGGTCTCTGAGTATCAGGGGAAGGTGGAAGCTTATGTGCAGGGTGGTGTTCCCCCGAGAAACAGAGCGGGCCCAGGGCTTGCGGAATCCCATCCAGAACTGCCAGTCAGGAGCCAGCAGCCCATCAAACACCTTCTTAGCTCTAGGAAGTTTGGCTGTTAGAACTCTGTTTCCCCATATTCCTCCTTCTGATGATGCCCACTATGTAGCATCCACTTCGAAAAGTGGTCTGAGAAAGGGGAAAGGAAACTCAGACTGGCAATTCTGCCTCTTTCAAGTAGGTCATGAAAAGGTCTAGTGAGCAAAGCGGAAATGAGTCATCACTCAATTACCTTTGAGTCGGTTTTCTGCTCCATGGATTATTCGGGGGACAAATGTCTAATCTCAGACAAGTTTCCACTGCCCTCCAAGTTGCTTGCCTTCACTGTCTAGATTTATGCTTAGGAAATGCAAATGTTTTTTAATGTGAAAGTGAGCGGGGAAAAGAAATACATACACACACACACACACACACACACATATATATTACACTGAGTCACATCTCTTCTCCCTCCATCAAGCAGAGAGTTGTCCCTCTTTTTCTAGATATAAGGATTCTTGGTTTCCTGCCTAGAGAACTACAATGTCCAGAAACCCAGGTCTAAGGAGATGAAGTGTGAATGGCCTTGTTTGCAGAAAGTATGAGGAAATGGTTCCTAAGGAGGTGCCAAAGTTGGCAGGAGCGGGTAGGAGTTATGCTGTTGGTTTCTGTGCTTGAAGAAGGGACTGGGTCCAGGTGAAAAAATCTATCATCAGCATCTCTCTCCTGGCCACCACTCCAACATACACTCACATACACACACTCAAACACACACACAGACATACACACACACTCACACTTAAGCAGGAAAATATCTGCTGGGGTTGAGAGCAAAGGGCTATACGTAAATATGGTACTGGAGCATGTTATTCTATGAGAAAATAAAAGATGTGTGTGATTATCTACAAAATCACTGTCACTATTTCTGTCTCTCCACTAGTGGGCATAATGTTATTTAGTTGCTCTTTCATCTCTGACTCTTTTGCAACCCCATGGACTGCAGCCCACTAAGCTCCTCTGTCCATTGGCTTTTCCAGGCAAGAATACTGGAGTGGGTTGCCATTTCCTTCTCCAGGGGATCTTCCCAACCCAGGGATCAAACCCATGTCTCCTGCATTGGCAGGTGGATTCTTTACTATCGAGCCACCAGGGAAGCCGAGTGGGCATAATAGTGTTGACTTACTTCGTGATTCTATAGAATGACCCAAGATGACCACGTTGGCTAGCTCTCTGGATAAATTTCAGGCCACCTTTGTTCTCCTGGTGACCCTCCAGGACCTGGCTGTTTCAGTCTGTGAGAACCACAAAGAACCTCATTCAACCTGTATGCTCCTTCTAGAAAGACCAAGAATCCCACTGAGAAGCCAAGCAGGCTCGGTCTCTGAGCAAACCCAAAGAAAGACTGGGAGCCCAAACCTTCCATGACTTTCCTTTGCCCCTTGAATGCACTTCCCTTTCTGAGGTACCGGGTCCAGAAGGCCCTGCTGAGGGATAGGGCAGACTGTGAGGCTGCTGGCCCCAGGGGATGGAAACCGATATTTAGGGAGAGGTGAACGTTCTTCCTCTCCATTGGGCTTCCTGTTTCTCTGGGTCCTTTCCTCTTGCCTAAAGAAGAAGAGGACAGACTGAGAGAAGCATCAGTTGTAGACCATCCAACCAACATGCAACCTCACACTGGGCCACACATGTCTTCTCGGTTGGGCTGTACTCGGCAAAGTTGGAGCAATACTTTTCAGTTTCAGAAAGGAAACCTGAGGGACCACATAGGAAGCTACTGCTGAAGCCCCCAAGCCAACCAAGCAGCTATGAATCCTTCCAAAAACTTTACTGCAAATCCATCCTACAGGTGGCTCTTGATTGGACTTGGGGATGGTTGGGAGGGCGGGGTGCTGGGATTGGGGGTGGTCTGGCACTGATCAGAGAGGAGGAAAAAAACGGTTTCAGCAAGAAGGGTAGGCTCCGTGCTTCTCGGGAGGAAAAAAAGCCACTCTAGGAAGTGAAAGGATCATTTAGCAACTGGCTGAGTTGAGGAGTGGTCTTCTGGGGTGTGTTTAATGGGGGAGAGCTCAGTGTAAGTGACTTCCCAGCAGGGAATGAAAGAGGAGAGGTGAATCATCAGGCCATCCTTTCTCCCCAAATGTTAAGTAAATAATAAACACATTCAACCAGGGACAGAGGGACTTAGAAAGCTAAAGATAGTACTCGAAGGAATCCCAGGGCTGGGGCCCCAAACACATCCATCTCCACAGTGGAAACTTAACCTGACAGCAAGGGACATGGAAACCTGGGTGGAGAAAATTTGGTGATGGGGAAGGGGACGACTCAAGTTGACTCAGCTCTTTGGCACCTGCTACTTATCCCTAAGAAGCCAAGGCCCTGGGATACCAGGAATCCCCCTGCAGCCCAGGGAGTTGGGTGACCTCTCTGGCAGGAGGGAAGGGGTATAGAGAAGAAAGAGAAGAGCTACTAGTTGGGGATCTTCTGGGGCAACCACAGAGATCACATTTTTTAAAGTTTTTTTGTTTTATTTTTGTCTGCACTGGGCTTCATCGATGCACGTGGGCTTTCTCTAGTTGTGGCAAGCAGGGCCTTCTAACTTCAGAGGCTTTTCTTGTTGTGGAGCACAGGATCTAGGGGGCGGGGCACAGTAGTCGCCTTATGAGGGCTTAGTTGCCCCTCGGCATGTGGAATCTTCCTGGAGCAGGGATCGAATGCATGTCCTCTGCATCGGCAGGCTGATTCTTAACCACTAGACCTACCAGGGAGATCTGAGATTACATTTTTAAAAAGAAAACAGTCAGCCTCTCCAGCTGGTACTCATCCCCTCCTCTCCTTCTGACCTTTTCAGTCTCTCTGCTTACAGCCTCTTCATTCTCTTTGGCCTTCAAACCTGCACAAATATTCCCTATTTTAGAAAAACATGCCCATACAAACAAGACAATCTTCAACACTGATGCTTGCTTCTTTAGTTTCTCTTTTTTCTTACCTTATTCCTACCAAACTTTTTGAAATACCTGGCCTTTTTCTGCTGCTTTCATTTCCTAATCATCCACCTCCCCTGGAAGCCACTGGACATATTCATCACCAAGTCTGGTGTCCCAAGACACCAACTGGGCTTCCCAAATGTCAGACTTTTCCCCAGCTTCGCTCTCTCTGCCTAAAGTCACCCTTGTAACTCTTCCATGGACCTGTTTCATTATACTTTTCTTTCCTCAGGAACCTGTAACAATTCTCTATTGACTCCTGGTCAAGGCTAAACTTTCAAGAAACTTCACCGTGGGTCCTTACTCCACCTCCACCTCGTCATTTCCAGCCGTCTTCTACTGTTCTCAGCTGTCTTATTTACATCTTTTCTTTCCAGCCAGAATCTAGCTGGTAGATCATAAGCATCTAAAGGACAGAGGCTAAGTCTTTTATGGTTTTGAACTGTGTCAATACCACACAAGTTAATTCATATCAAAGTACCCTGAAGTAGCCTAACTTCAAAAATAAACCTTCTTGGACACTTACATGACAACCATTCTTTCACCTGAGGGAAAAGATGACATGAGAAAGTCCTTGGGAGAGCCTGGGACTGCACATTTTAGGCCACCCCTTACCTAAGATGCCCACTCCAGTACTCTTGCCTGGAAAATCCCATGGACGGAGGAGCCTGGTAGGCTGCAGTCCATGGGGTCGCTGAGTCAGACATGACTGAGCAACTTCACTTTCACTTTTCACTTTCATGCATTGGAGAAGGAAATGGCAACCCACTCCAGTGTTCTTGCCTGGAGAATCCCAGGGACGGCGGAGCCTGGTGGGCTGCCGTCTATGCGGTTGCACAGAGTCAGACACGACTGAGCGACTTAGCAGCAGAGCAGCAGCAGTACCTAAGATGCAATATCTGAGTGACAAGGAGAGATTATGAAAGCGTGAAGTATTCTGCACAATCTTTGCCTTGCTCTGTCATAAGAATGTTTACATGCTTGCTACTTTGTAATACTATTTGGACACTGTTCAAACCTGGCTACTTATTTGAATCATCTGGAGCATTTTTTTTTTAATACTGATCCCCAGGCCTCCTCCAAATGTTCTGATTTACTTGGTGTGGGGCACCAGCAGGAACATTTGTAGCTCCTCCAGCAGATTCTAACATACAGTCAGGTTAAAGAGTCACTGATTTAGAAATTTGAGCGTGTGCCATGTGTTGGGAGTGAAGGAGTGTTTGAAGATCTGTGCTAATGTGGTGTCCAGGATGCACACCTCACTCCAGATTGTCTCCTCTCCTTTAGATACGTTTGAATTCCTTCATGCCTTTGTCACCACCATTAGCATATAGGCAAGGCCTATTTCAGTAGACAGAATGAATCTGTCTCCAGGGGAATTGATCTTGGAAAGCCACCTACTCCAGGCGAGTCCTAGAATAAGAACTCATCACCCAATCTCCTTCCCTGTGCCTTTGTCTCCTTGACCCGTAGGGAGCGACTGCCTGCCCACTACTTTAAGTTTCAGTTCCGGAACGTGGAGTACAGCTCTGGGAGGAACAAGACCTTCCTCTGCTATGTGGTGGAAGCACAGAACAAGGGAGGCCAAGTGCAGGCCTCTCGAGGGTACCTGGAGGACGAGCACGCTGCTGCCCACGCGGAAGAAGCCTTCTTCAACAGCATCATGCCGACCTTCGACCCTGCCCTGCGCTACTTGGTCACCTGGTACGTGTCCTCCAGCCCCTGCGCGGCCTGCGCAGACCGCATCGTCAAGACCCTCAACAAGACCAAGAACCTGCGCCTGCTCATCCTGGTGGGGCGGCTGTTCATGTGGGAGGAGCCTGAGGTCCAGGCGGCTCTCAGGAAGCTGAAGGAGGCCGGCTGCAGACTTCGCATCATGAAGCCCCAGGACTTCGAGTTCATCTGGCAGAATTTTGTGGAGCAAGAAGAGGGTGAATCCAAGGCCTTTGAGCCCTGGGAGGACATTCAGGAGAACTTCCTGTACTACGAGGAGAAGTTGGCAGACATCCTGAAGTAGGCAGCTAGGTTCAGCCTCACGTGAGTCTGTTCACTGTCAACTTGGATAGAAGGGCAGGTGGAATGAGTGGTCTCTCTGATTTTCCTTTGAAAAGATTTCATCTCTTCTTTTCTGGTTAGTGGTAACAACATTCTTAGATCCTGCCTTTTCTCTTTCCTCTAAATTCCTCTCCCTAAATCCTTTCTCTCCTACCCTTTTATATCAAACTGACTTTCTCCATAACTTAGAGTGCTCAAGGGTGATAGAAATCCAGAAGCTTTGATGAGACCGAATAACTTTCGTTAAGATGAGGATGGTACAAGGACCTGTTGCGCACGCACACGTGTGTGTGTGTGTCTATGTGTGTGTGTACACGTGAGCGCGCTCAGTTGCTTGGTCATGTCCAATTCTTTGTGACCCCATGGACTGTAGCCCAGGACCAGGCTCCTCTGTGCATGGAATTTTCAGGTAAAAATACTGGAGCCAATTGCCATTTCCTACTCCAGGGGATCTTTCCAACACAGGGATCAACGACTCTTGCATCTCCTGTATTTGGCAGGTGGATTCTTTACAACTACACCAGCTGGGATGCCCACAAGGACCTGCTACTGAACAGCAAAGATATTTCAGTCCTCTAACAAGTCCCCATGTCCACCTGTCCAAACTTACTAACTTTAGACACCTTCTAGACACTCTGCTCCCACCCCATCTACAATCTTACCATTCTGTTTTTCCTTTAATGCTGGTTTTTCATTCCTACAGGGGCATTTTTCCCCCTCATTTTTGGTAATTTTGAATGTCCCTGAATGGATTTGTATTCAACTCTTTGTGGGGACGAGGGAGGCTGAGAAATTCATGTTTTCAAACAAGTGGTTCTGCTTTGAGGGAGACCAGGAATTGCTGTGCGAACGTACAATGCAAAAACACTTCTCTTATGTTAAGACCTCAGCAGAACTTGCACAAAAACGATGAGTTCAGGAATGGGGATAATAAAGCAGCAAGTTCTGCTATAAAGGAACGTTTTGGAAAAGGAAATGGCAACCCACTCCAGTACCCTTGCCTGGAAAATCCCATGGATGGAGAAGCCTGGTAGCCTACAGTCCACGGGGTCGCAAAGAGTCAGTCACGACTGAGCGACTTTACTTCAATACTTCAAGGGTTAAAAAGATGTTTGCAAATTAGGCAACAGCTCAGAAGTAGCCTCCTAACAGGTATCAATATGGGATAGGAGAACTGGAAGTAAAGATTAGCTACTTAAGCAAACAATTAGGACACAATTAAGGCCAATTCAACCTCTTGCTGAGGGTAAATCAGACTCTTAAGAGAAATAGGCCAATTGCCCTCAGGAAAGAGGGTACAGGATCTCCTATTGTCTCTTTTTGAATTTGGTCTGATCTAGTTTGCTTCCACAGAAGTGCTCTGTATAACTAAGTCCCTTTACAAGACCTGAGTTACTGATCAAAACTTTCCATTACCAGAGAAAGGGTCTTCACACCCTCTTATCCAACTTTAATTCTGTAACACCTCACAGATTAGTAAAACATGAAAGCAGCATGCTTCCATGATGTTAAATTTATTTTTGGTGCCTCTCAGTCTTAATACTCTGAAGAGATGCTGCTTCATGGACATGTTCTGGAAACATCAATGTTCCAGAGCCTGATATTGGCAGGTCTATGCACACAGGGTGTTGGGTCGTTCTCCAGCTGAGCATTTGTCAATCCATCAAGTCACAGTTCTCAGCCATTTCTTACAAAAAAGCAAGACCTATTCACTGAATTCAGTGAGACCAGGGTCAGACAGTGCTATGAGATACCTTGCTCACCTAAAATAAGACACCACTCAAGAGTGATGATGAGTAGTAATACAGATTTCTAAAGGTGACCTCTAAAAATACAAAAATTCCTTGAAGATTTTATTAGTGTAGAAACTAGCACCCATAAACCCTACATAAATTCTGTAGAATGATGACTGGCAGCCTAATTTTAACTCTAGTATACTTTCTTCTTAAACATTTTGTAGTCACAGGCCACTTTTTCCAGCTGCCAAACTAGCAAGACCTCAGAGATGAGTGTGTTTTACCTATTAAGTCAAATAATTAAATAGCTAAATCTGCTATAAAAATTAAGCATTTCAAGGATTAAAAACTTTTAACTTTGGATAATTGAGAGTTGCCTTTTACGCTGATCTAAATCAACATAAACAGATAAATCAGTTTGAGAGAAAAGTCCACTTCTAAGTCAATTTTTTAATAAAATATTATTGAACAAGTTCCACATTCTAAGTCTCTTTCCATTAGTGTACATAATCGTATTATCTGGACCCATTAACATGCTTCCCTGTACTCTATTTGAGTTGCTCATATTCCTGAAGGGAGAGGTTAAAATGTACCAAATTAAAAAAAAAAAAAAAAAACTGGCATGAAATCAAGTTGTAATCTAAAAGCCCCAAAGAACTCTGCTTAATTAAAATACTCTCAAGCAATGAGCATTTGTTAAAGAAATGTGTCTCATAATATCTTCTTCCATCTTTTGAAAAAATGACAGAATAGGATTTAACCATACAGTTAAAGCAAGATAACATAGTTAAGCTTCCTAGGTGGCTCAGTGGTAAAGAAACCGCCCACCAAGCAGGAGATATGGGTTCAATCCCTGGGTCGGGAAGATCCCCTGGAGAAGCAAATGGCAACCCACTCCAGGATTCTTGCCTGGGAAATCCCATGGACAGAGCACCCTAGCTGGCTAGTCCATGGAGTTGAAAAGAATCAGACACGACTTAGTGACTTGACAGCAGCAGCGGCAACATAGTTGAAGATCTCTTCTGGGGCTCTCTCTGTGTGAACCACACCAAAATATGAATGAAACAAATCCAATCCTGAATAAAACAGAAACCACAGGTGGCTATGGAGAAATTCAGGCATTCATTGAGAAAGGCACAAAGAAACCCTAACTCAAAAAGAAAACTCTTCGTTGTTTGGGGCCAGCAGGGCTCTCAGTAACATTGCTTTCTGTTTTCTCACAAAGGTCTGCCTGCTGCCACCAAGAGACAGCAATGACACGTGGTCATCTGGGACATGCCTGACTTCTTAATACCGCTTGGAGCTGGATGATATCCGACACCCACCAACCCTTCTGCCCAAGGCCCTCTGAGGACTCAAAATACTTATGCTGTAAATCACTTAAGCTGTGTCTCTCTCTCTCTAAGGCTGCTCTTGGGAAACAGGAAAGTGAGCTGTGAAGAGAAATGGCACCAGGCTCTGTGGGACTGAAGGTCCGTATTATTTCCCCAATTGGGCTTGGGGCAAAGAGCCTCAGACCCAAAGTCTGAACAGATCTTTGAAACATGTCTAGAAATGCATCTCATGTTAAGTTGGGATTTTTTTTTTTTTAAACAGCAACATTAATAAAAGAGGTGGTGTGGTCTTTCTGTGACCAGGTTTTTTAAGGAAAAAATTTTTCTATAATTTAGAAATTATAGACAGCAAATCCCAGAAACAGGGATGTCCCAGGCTATGAACCAAGCCACAACATTATATAAAGTGGAAGAAGCTTAAACCGGAACTTGCCAGGGCTACACGGGATGTACCAACTCCCATGCAGACTTCACACCTTGGTCTTGACCTTCAGAAAATACTGTCTCAAGATTACTTGTAAATGAGTGTCTTTTCTCTCCTCTGAAAACAAGGAGTATGGCAGAGGATGAAACAAAAGGCACAGGAAACCTGTTCCTAAGGAATATAAACATCCCAATTGCCAATCCATAAGCAATTAGCCGCCTGATTAAAGAGGAAAGGGCGAGAAGTAGGATCTAAATGTTTGGATACACTTAATGTAGGGGTAGTCTGTGCGTCATACTTGATGGGGAGGGCAGGATGGTGTCAAAGTCTCATTTCTTAAAACGCTTGTTTGAGTCCTATGTAGAAGCAAAATTTCACATGTGAATTTCTGGGTGTTCGCCAAACTCTAACTAGGTTTCCAGGAATAATGTGCCCATTCTGATTATCAGGTCATGCCTCCTTTCCCCAGGCTTCAAGTGTGATAAGTCATCGGAATTTGACCCCAAGACTATCTGCAAATGACAGGGCACTTTATCACATCCCTGTGGAATTCCACTTACAGCCAGACCTTCACAAGACTAGGTTTTGTTAATAGAAATGTGAACAAGGCTCATACTCCATGAAACAAATTAACCCTAATCCATTAAAATGTAGCAGAAGCCTGGAAAACCAATGTTTTGACCCAGTGGTAAGATGTATTTGCAGAGTTAAGCGAAATACTTTAATTCTAGTTTCCTCTTACCACCCCACTCCCCTTTTCAGTTTTGTACACTCTTCCCTTTCAACCTCACTGTGTCTGTGGACAGAAACAAAGCTACAAGAAAAGCCTTAGTCTAAAAGTCTGACAATGAACTTGCTCCCAGCACTGCCCCTACCCCAACAACATGAAGAACTTGTCTGTTACACATAGAGATACAGAAGTCAAATACTTTTTGAAACTGCTGCCTCATATCAGGCTGCCAGGTGATAAGAACACAAGTCTAAAGTACAAAGATTACATTTAACCAGTGCTCTCCTGGTGTTTCCACAAGCCCCTTCTAAAATCCAATTCTTTTACACTTGGGAAAGCAGCAGGTCCTATGACAGACCAAGAATTCACTCTATGGAGAAAATCAATAGCAGGCCTGTCTGATCTCAATACCACAGTAAGAGAACAGAGGGTGGAAACAGTCTCCTAGTTTTCCCCACACCTCTGATACTGAACCACTGGCTAAAATCCATGAGCCTTATTCTTCCACCATGAAAATCAAGAGTGGACAAAGTGCTGCTCTGAGCTTAGAAGGGGACAAATTTACTCTTTTCCATCCCAGCTGGATAGATATCAGAATCTTCTGGAGCTCAAAAACACAAAACTGGCAACTCTCCCCCACCCCCAATTAAATTCCTATTTAAGAGGGAGTGGACCTTTATTTTAAAGAGATTTGTATGCATTTTGTTGAGAACTGCAGATTGAGTCATTTATTAGTTCACACTAAGAACCTTGCCAGGTATTTCACATATGTTGTTCTATGTTTTATGACTGAATTCAGACAGGTGCAGTTACAGAAACTACATGGTGGCCAGGACAGAGGAAGCGTTCGCCAGGAGGAGACTCTGAAAGCCTCCTCCCCAGTGTCCTTGCCCGTTCTGACGTCTTCTCACCTGGTCCTCTTCCAACTGGGCCCTCTGATGCGTAAACCCGCCATTAGCCAACACAGACATGTACACAGAACCTCATTGGAGCAACCCCCCCCGCCAAAAGATCTTTAGTTTTCCATTTTTGTCACCACAAATTCCTTGTAAGCATAAAACTTTTGTAATTTAAACAAAAATCAAACCCATAATTCTCTCCTAGGATGAATTTGATGCCATAAGGATAATACCAAGTAAGTGCACAAATGACACAAGATGCAAAATTAATTGAAAACGGTCATCCTTCCTGAAACCTCTCTTAAAACAGCAGAGAAGTAAAAGCAATGCTGCCACCTAGTGGCAACCCAAACAAATCACATAGCATCCCCAGCAAAATAAGAGGTCCTAGGCCCAACATTTGGTCCCTCCCCTTACCTTCCTGAAAAAGAAAAATTCCCAGCATCAAGCAACCCCTCCTCCAGAGTCCCATTCAATCCTGAGAATACAGCAACCCAGGTCTGGCCTGTGACACAGACTATTTCACAAGAAACGGTCCTCTGACCATTTTAAGGTCAGTTTGCTCAGTCCTGTGGCCCAGGTGATGCAGAAGGTAGACACATCCAAAATGCTCTTCTATTCAGAGTGTGTACACAGTAATTCTGATGTCTGTTGCCTCAAAGACCTCCTCAATTATTGCGGATACATTTTCCCATTGCAGACGATCAAGACCACATCCAATCCTGAAAAAGACAAAACATCTCCACTGGTTGTGATTGAGGAAAAGGCTCCTTCTGTCTTTCCCTAGGCTGCATCCACCCAAAGCCAAAGATAACATCTGGTTTCACACCTATAGGCAACCATGGTGGGAGTTTAGAAGTTAATTCCTATTGTGAGTCACCTAAGGCTGTTTCCTGAACAGCCCTAACATCCAATAGCTGTCACTTCTCTTTTGCCAAATAAAGTACCAATTCCCAGTTACCTCAGGGTACATTTAGAAATGTGTAACTGCCACAAGACAGAACTCACTATTTCTACTAGTGAAAACAAGCCGTGGGTGGATGGGAAAAGGTTGGTATTTTTAAAATGTGTTAGTCACTCAGTCATGTCTGCCTCTTTGTGACCCCATGGACTATAACCTGCCAGGCTCCTCTGTCCATGGGGATTCTCCAGGTAAGAATATTGGAGTGGGTTGCCATGCCCTTCTCCAGAGGATCTTCCTGACCTAGGGATCGAACCTGGGTCTCCCGCACTGTAGACAGATTCTTTACCAACTGAGCCACCAGGGAAGCCCATTTTAAAAATACACTTATGGTAACGGAATGTTAAGGAAGATAACTGGGAAATGCCAAGCTGATTGTATTCCAATCTTCCCAACACCCTGGTGAGAAACCTCAATCAGCCCACAAAACTCTTACTACCCGGCACCTTTCTTCCAAGATGTTACTTTACTGATCTTCAATATCCCCAGGGAAAAAAGAAAGGCTTAAAATTTATAATTTTCTATTAATGTGTTAAGTACCTGAAAAAACTGTGATTAAAAAAAAAAAACAGTTTCTGGCACGTAAGTCGTGAATATATTACAGACCAGTTTAAGACGAGGGACCAACTAGCCACATTTCTAACTCAGAGCTTGGAATAAACCTGCATGCATGGTCAGTACTGACTCAGAACTAGTCTGACAGGAAGAGAAGGGACCCCAAGCCTATTCCTGAAAAGGAAACAAAGAGGATACTGAACCCCCAACACATCAGTCCCTTAAGTTCCCAGTATCTAGGGTCTAAGTCGTTACATTAGCGACATATCCTCTGGCCACTATCCATGCTGAACATAAATAAGCATGCAGTTTACAAAGCAGTGATAAGCTACAACTTTGTTCACACAGAATGAACAGGTCTGGGACACCTGAAGTGGCCCAGAGAAAAATCACAATTGCTCAGTCTTGATTCTTTAGCTGTACTAGAGGATGCCTAGAATTCAACAAATAGTGGTGAACAATGGTTCCTCCCTACTAGGCAGGCTGAGGAAGATCTGTGTTTTCATCATCCTGATTCATTCAGCCCAAGCTAAAAGATGGGCATGCCTTGAGCGAAGATCTGACAACTGGTTTACTGATGATTTTTAAATGTTTTGATCTGTCCACCTTTAAGTCTACATTTTGGGTTAAGGAAAGCTTTTCAATCACTTGTCCTGGGTAGGACAGTAAGCCCCACAGTCAAGTCTTCACTCAGGGCCCCGGGTTTCCTTGCCTCGGCATGGAGAGTTCGGTGACTCCATTCCTCAGACAATGGGACTTCGTGGCCTCTAAACTCTTCCGCAAGTTTTCGTAAGTTGGCTTGTGTGATGCCCTTTTCTTTGTAATCTGAGTGCGAAGAATAAATTCAAATTTCCATTAGTCCAAAATGAGAGCCAAAGAAACATCATCATGTTCTCCCAACATCGTGATAATTAAAATAAGTACACTTTTATAGACTAGATAACAAATGTCATATGGTCTCTTCCAGTTATGGGAATCCACTGAATAGAACCAGAGACCCAGACACTGCCGCATCTTTCCTTTTCCTAAGAAACCCAGATGAGCAGGTGTGCCTGTTGTCTATTGTTTTTAAGCAGGCAGGTGGAAGTTCCTGTGCTACTTCCAAGAGATAAGCTATGTATCTGTAACAAGGAAGAACTCACAGCACCTAAAAATTTCCTGTTAGGTTTATTTATTTAGAAACAGTGCTTGCTTTTTACTTCCCTATAAAAGAACAGAAAGAAACTGGTAGCATTCCAAACAAGATTTAAAGTCATAGTAGCCTTAAAGGACAGCATCCCCACTTTGTGTGCGACCCTAATCAAGCTTGTAGTGAGCTGGCTCTAAGTCATCCAGCAGCATCACCAAGAGGGTGCACTCCTTCACAGGTCAAAGACCATCAGGACAGTGGAAGAAATCCACATGGAGGAAGCAGGCAGGAGAGGAGCAGAGTATTAGCTGGCACTGCATTTGGTAAGGAAGAATGAGAGAAAAACTCTTTAGAGCAATCCATCTCTTGAGACTTTATTGTCTCTATTTCACTAGGACAATGAAGGAATTAAAGCAAGGGAAGCATCCCTAACTTTCACACATCATGTAACAGGTCTCTGGTAAATATCACTACTTCTTCCCATGCAAGGTGGAATGCAGCCTCATGTTTCTAACCCAGTGCACCAAACAGCCACCACGTCTGGGTCTGAGTCAGCATGAGGTCAGCTTTTGACCATTGGTTGTCTATAAAGAAACACTGTGATCAACACAAGTGCAGCACAGCCTATGTTTGCTAATACTTAAAACTTACTGCGAATTGGCCCCGTCTTACCAGGTAATATATATATCGTCCATCTCTCTTCAGAACAGCCACTTCTCCAGACTTTTTCTCTAAGAAAAACAGTTATTTAATAGTAAAAAAGAAAAACGAAAACACTGATCTTCATTCTTAGATTTTTAAAAGATCTTTATAGATCTGAGTCTACTTCAGAACTAGAATTAATTTTCAACTCTGAAGAATCCTTTGATCCTTATCAGCCTTCCTAAACACCATATTCCTTAACTTCCAGTTTTCCTGTTTTAGGAAATCATGTTTTCAATCACATTTTCCTCATACTCTGTCTTCAATCCTGCTGCGTTTTCAAATACCCTTTCCTATTCTCTTAAAAAATATTAATGTCTACTGCCTTGAAATGTTTTAGAATGTACAGCATTTTTTACTTGCCAAAAGTGTATTTAATAATTTAATCATTATCTTTTTACATACAAACAGCTAATGTGTTAAGCATTATGGGGAACACAGATGTGTTAATATTAAAAACTTCTTAATTATTTAACAGTTTCCAGTCAGAAGAATGTGTGGTGTTTTGAAACAAATACAACATAAAGCAGTAAAAAGTTGCTTTCTTTAGGCTGGGAGCGGAATCACCAGTGGAGACCGACTCAGTAAGCCTGCACTGTGGTCTAAGCAACTGTTTCAGAAGCTCCACCTGTGATTCTGGCACACATTTCTGCTTTACAATCACTGGGAGCAAGTGAGGTAAGTGTTTGTAAGGAAAAGTTCTAAACTCTTTGAAGTATAAGCACAGTATGGGCAAACAGAAAATCCTGAATGCCAGGCTAACAGCTGTGGACTTTGCTTAGCATGCCAGAGTTTTTAAAGGTTTCACGCAAATGGAGTGATATTATTAAGAAAGATTTACGAAAGAGGGAGAAAAAGTTTATTTATGAAAAAGTTTCATTTAAAACTTTTACAGGAACTCAGGTTTCGTGGGCCAACCCAAACTCTGTAGAGGAAAAACAATCTGCAGTGTTAAAAGGACTCGGTAGTTAGGAACCCCATCAGTGCATATATATCTTGTTTAAATTATTAAGCTTAACAGGAGCATCAAAAGATGGTCTAGTCAGGGCAGGTGAGTTCAACTGCTTTCAAAACTCACGTTGATTTAACAGTTCCTGCACCCCTCCAAATTTCTTCTTGAAGAGGACAGCTATCCCAGCGCCCATTCGACAGTCCTCACTGATACAGTGCACTAAAGAGTCTGTTTTGGGACATGCAAAAAGGTCGCCTTTCACATAAGTAATCTAAAATGTGCAAAGAGAAAGAAAACATTTATTAGATATAGAAAAATACTAAGCTACTTCTTTTCTTTTCTTGTGCCCACCACAACCACTACCTCTCCCCGCTCATCCCTCCTTCATTTAAAAGACAAATTTTCAGAATTTAAGAAGTTATCTAAAGCGAATTAAAGCATGTGCAAAGTAAAGTAATCAGTGGGCTCTGCCTAAGATTGTATCAGCCTTTCTAAAATAAATCAACAGGAGAGAAAAAAAGACAATTCAATTACTAGTTTAATTAAAAAGCGTTTGTGCTTTGACCTCAAGCATTCTGAATTTCAGTTCACCAGTAAGTTAATAGTTGTTACCCACTCGGCTTCCTTCTGAATCTTCATTAGGGCTGCCAGCCATGATACTGGGTCGCTATTTCTTCAGCTATAAAAAGGGGAAAGGAAGTCATGCTTAGGCAGCCCGAATATATTACATTCAGACTTCCCTGACCACCCACGTACTAACTTTTCCACCCACCGTTTATCGCTGAATGTGACTTCTCTAGAAAGGAACGCAAAAATCCTCTGGGCAAGGAGGGGAGGAATAATGGCTGGTTCAGACGCGGCCGTGACCCGATTGCATTTCGCGCTTCCCAGGAGCGGAAGAAAGGCAGTCCTAGGACCCGCCTCCTCCTTTCCCCGCGCCCGCGCCAAGCAAAGCTGATTTTGGACAGTCTTTTCTCTGAAAGATACAAAAGTACTTCCCCACTGGGTCTGGCCCAGGGACAAGGTGGGGCTTGGCCACAGTCCCGCTAAGTCGCCAACTAGAGAGTGTACCGGTCAGGCGGACTGTACTGCCAAGGTGCGGGAAGGGGTGAGAGAGAAGGCGGCCCCTCAAGGAAGGCTCACTCCCATCTTTTGCGGGGGGTAACTGAGGGAAAAAGTAAAGAGAGGGCTCCCATTCTCTGTCGCCTACCCTAGGGCTGATCAGCCAAGGCGTAGGGCCTGTCCCGGGATCCCGTGGGAGGAAGCAAGGAGGCTTGCTCAAAGCACCAACGTACCGCGGTTACCCTTCACCTGGAAAGGAGTTGGCCGTTACGAGGTCCCGCCCCGCGGGGAAGGGCTCTGGTAGGTGGGTAACAGCGGACGAACCCACGCTACGAAGCCAATCCCACCACAGCCTTTAATTGCGCGCACCTAAGATGGCCGCCCACCATCCGGGGGCCGGGCGGAAACGAGCCCCTCTAGCTAGCTGGCCGAACCTGCACTCTTTGGTGATGGCCGCCGAACTTCCGGCGGTGAAGGCCGTGGAGCACCCGACCGCCGCCGCCGCCCGGGCATGCGTAACGAGACAGCCGAATGCAAGTTGGGTAGAGCGGCGCCTGCGCATTAAGTCCCAGGGGGTGTGTCTCCAGGGGCCGCATAGAAAAAGGAGGGCAGTTGCCAAAGGAGTTACTTAGCGCCTGCGTGGTGCTAATGTTCAGGACGGTGTTTGAGTGGAAGGGTCTGGCGCGCCTAAAAGGCGCCTGCGTATTCCTACGGTCGGGTGGGAACCAATCAGGAAAATGGGCGTGGCTGAGGCACACGCGTGCGCGGTGCTGCTTCTGCGGGGGGGTGGGGCGAGCCCAGAGCTCGGGGTAGGGGGCGTGGCCTAAGAGGCGCCTGCGCGGAGGCAGTTGGAGGGAGGCCCGATTCCCCTTTGTTCGACTTCGCCATTTTGCGAGGCAGCGGCAGTGGCGGCGGCAGCGGCGGCTGGAGCCTCTGATTGGGTTTCGGGGTCCGGTACTGGAGCCAATCAGCGCGGGCAGCGAACCGGGGGAGCGAGGCACGGTGAGTGTGAGGAGCCAATATCCAGCGGCCCAGAGCCGGCCCCAGCGCCCCGATTGGCGGGTCTCGCTGACCACTCAGGAGAGGCCCAGGCGCCTGTCGAGCCCCGGGAGTCGAGCTGAGCCTAGCCGAGCGGGGCGACCTGCTGCCCCGGACCGGAGCCTGCGAAGCTCTCCGGGGCACTCCCCACCGAGGCCTGCAGGGGGCCGCCCCGCGAGGGGATGGCGCCCTCGGGAGCAGGCATCTCGGGGCCCAGACCCGCGCAGGGTGCAAGGGCCAGTTGGGGATGCGTCGCCGTTCTCCCCGACCCTTTGGCCCAGTTTCTCGGACCCCAGACCCGGGGGTGTGGAGTTTGCCAGCCACAAGGCCCTTACGTTCAGGTATACACACACTCGGGCCTAGGCAGTGTCTTCCTGGTCTTTCTGGCCTCACAACTTAAACCTGCCCTTGCACTCAACACGCGGCGGCCCCCGGGACGGGAAGTCTCCCCCCGCGGGGCCTGCGCACCCCTCCCCTCCGTGAGCGGGTTTGTCCTGTCTGCAGCCTTCCTAGGTGGGGAAGGAGGACCGGGGAAGACGCGCGCCGTGGCCACCGGGCCCCGCGTGCAGCGCGGAGAGGAGGCCGGCCCGCCCCCGCCTCGACACTCTGCGGCTCCGCCCCCGCCGTCCCTCTGCCGGGATGGGGGGGCGGGGAAGGGGTTCGTTAGTGCGCCCCCTCCTCGGACCCCGCTGCGCCCCTCCTCCTAACGCACTCCCGGGTCTCCGGTCCCGGCGCCGTTACCACCCCCTTTTGGCTCGTCATTTCCTCTCTTCCCCGCCCCGATCGCCGGGCAGAACGCACACCTCCGTCCTGGAGCCCATCCAGGCAGTGTCCCTTCCTTGCCCGGGCTGTAAGCCTCTGTCCATTCGGTGCCTGGAACCTCGCTCTTGGAAGATTGCGAGCTCTGTGCATTCCTTTCCCCCGAGGCTGCAAAATTTGCTTTCATTAGTCTTATCTGTTGCTGCTCATCTCGTGGATTCTCGCCCCCTTAGGAATGTACAGTTTCTTTTCTTTCACGTTTCTGTGTCACTTCGAACATGTCAGACTTCACTCGTTAGCTTGGTTCACAGCCATCTCTTGTTTTGGTTTTTCCCAGTATGTTGACGTTTTCTTGGATATTTATAGAAACTTAACAGTCTTCTGGGGTTTTCGTTAGGGTGAGAGATCATCTCCTTTGACAGCCAAGTATCGAACAGTTAGTGTGAACCAGGCGTCCATCTGCTGGGCGGAGAGTGATTAGAGGTCGATGAGAACCTTCCCAGCCTGGTGGAGATTGACAGGTGAGCAGGTAATTCATATCTCAGGGTTAGTGCTGTAACGGGGCCAAGTTCAATTCTGTGATGTGTGAGCTACCGACAGCCTCGGAGGAAGGCCAGCATTGCCACACTTTTAATTGGCCTTGAAAGATAATGGGATTTCTTTGGGTAGGAAAGAACGGAAGAGCGTTGTTCACAAAGAGAAGAGCATGTGCTGAGGCGCCAAACTTCGCTGTCTGTTCGGGGAAAGAAGAAAGTATAGGGCAGTGGGCATCTGTGACAGTTTAGTAGGTTGGGAAACGCAGTTGGTAAAACCACTTGTATATTTTGCTAAGGGATTTTTCGGAAGCAGTTATTTTGTGGAAATTTCAGAAGTCTAGAAGCAGATTTTTTATTTTTCAAGTTTGGAAAAAAAAGTTACTGGTTTATGAGATTCTCCTCCACAGTAACAGCTGACTTTGGGTGGGAGGAAGGGAGATTTTTCTCCTAGGACTTTAAAATTTTTTACTCAGGTGAAGCACAGTACAAGCAGTCCTTGTTACATACAGTCAGCCTTTAGTATATGAGGCCTATTTTTATAATCACATTTACTAAAGTCATTTAACTGGTAAGTTTCAGAAAGCTACTCTAGTGGTCTTTCCGCTACTAAAAAATTGGGGACAGTTTTGTTTTCATTTTTTGCCATGAGTTTTTTATTGTTGAAATCATTTACAAAATTGATTTGGAAAATATCTGATAGATGGGGCACTGTGATTTACATTTTTTTTAGAATGTTTACATTTGCCTTTGGAGAGGATAAATACTTTGGGACTTAAAAATGGTAGTATGTGTCACTTTAAAACCAGCAAACATTTTTGCTAGACTTCTTTCTAATAGACAGTTATTGTCTAGTCACATTGCTAAACCCCTCTAGAAACTCTGCCTATTTGCAAACGAGCTTCCTTGCCTGAAATTTCAAGTACAGTAATCTGACCTTTAGCTTTCTCTTGACATGTGGCCTTTTAGCCTGCTGTTTTATATGTGGAAATTTTTCTTTGTTTTTATGCTATGTCTTCATTTGGAGCACTCCATTCCCTTCCACTTTGTCACATGTAAATCGTCCTTATGCTTAAGACCAGGTCAGATGCCACATTTTCTTCTAGAGACTTCATGTCTATCCCCAATTTCTGTCCTTCAAACTCTTTTGTTTGTTTTTTTCCGTTAGGGATTCAGTACAGATTTTTACTCCTTTACTAAATTTAAAGATTCTCTGAAGTTAAAAACTTACAGTTTTCCTTTTATTTCTAAAACCTTCAAGACAGTGTTTGACAGGTGGTCGGTCCATCATTAGTGGAGATTATGCAAATTAGGAACTACAGTCCAGAAACCTTTTGGATGATGGGGATATGGGACAGCCCTTTGTTCTCTATAGTCTTCTATCAAACATAGATCAGGACCTGTTTGTTGAGTTGTGAAGTCAATTTAGTGGGCCAATTCTGGTAATTTTTTACAGTAGAATAGAGAATACCACCATTCATCTTAAGTTATACTTACAAAGATCAGTCATGAAACTTTTAGTTACTTTTTAAAATATATTCTAAGTGCATTTGTGATATGAAATGTGTTTCTTGCTGTGAGCTGTCAAAAAGTTTAAAAACTGCTGTTCTAGTCTTTGCCTGGTAGTGATGGTCAAATATGATAATTCTGCAGGATTTTTCACTTGTTTATTAAGGTTGAGTTTCTGGTTGAGTTAAAATGTGTGTTGGTCCAAAACAAATGGATTTCTAAGTAGTTAGCTGCATTTCAGGTTCTGTACCTTGAAGTGAGGAAGAAGAAATTTTCTTGCTAACCAGAATAAATATATGTTCTTGCTGTCTTTGAGGAAAAGACATTCAAACTTTGAGTTAGGAACAAGAACTAGACAGACTAAATCCAGCTGACTTAATTCTGTCAGAATGTAAGCAGAAAAGCACTTGAGGAAAGACGATGTCAGATTATATTGCAGTTCTGCTAACTGAAGCTCAGTTCTGCTAACTGAAGTGGGAACATATGGCTTCACAGAAGCTGGTGGCGACCGTTCTTCACCATTAGCAGTCTAAATATCATGCGCCACGCTGAATCACTCCCTCATTAATATATGACAGGAAATTGCTGTTAAACTTGAGACCCCTTCTGTTTTGACCCATCAAAGTATAGTGGATTTAAATGTTTTTAAGTTGTAGCATTTGTATTACAAGGATAAACTAGTTAAAAAGAAAACCTGCATGAGATTTTTATCAGTCATTTCTCTGCACTTCCAGTATGATGTAAATTTCTGGAAATTAGGGGTCAAGGAAAAAAATCTCACACAGGAAGGGGATTGGAGGTGGAGTGGGTTTTTAAAATACAGAGGACATTCCTTGTTTAGACATAAAGGATAATCATTTTAAGTGTATGTTTTGATGGCTTTTGATAAATTTATTCACAAATGCAACCACCACCATAATGAAAATATAAAACATTTTATCACCCCAGAAAGTTCCAAATGCTCTATCCCAGTCAGCTTCCCTCTTCTGTTTTCCATTTCCAGGAAACCACTGATCTGCCTTCTGTCTCTGGATTACTGTTACCTTCTCAGGGTTTCCTATATATGAAATCACACTACTCATGACCTTTAATTTGTAATTTATTAGCTTAGAATGCATTGTGTGTATTGCAGTTAGAGACAAGATGGAATTTAGGAAAGACCATTCACTTCCCTGGAAGAGCCACTTAGTCTGACCAAAAATCTGGTTTTCTCAGAGATTTTGTTCCCAGAATCTCTGAGGAGCCAACTCAGTCAACCAGTTTAGAAGAGACGTATAAAAATCAGAAGACCGATTTGTCAGTATGCAATGAGAAATAACTGTTAGGCTTCCTTGTGTTACTGACCATCCCTGCTCCCTGTTGGCTACTGTATATGTGAATCCAAATTATAGCTCGATGCGTGTTTGGTGAGCATTCTGTCAGAGCAAGGGTGGTGAGTTGAAGAACCACATGACCATATATACCATCACACTCGGTGCCATAGTCATCCTGTCACTCATTTGTGGCTCTTATACTGTGTACCGATTTGGTTATAAGTAATAGACTTGATTGAGTTTTATTAGATTTTCCTCTGAACATTTAGTATAAAATTTTTAGTATACAGTAGAGTTTTATAATAAATACCTGTGTACCCGTCATCTAGAGTCTGCTCATAATGTACTGTACTTGCCTCTAATTTTAGAGAGGAATCTGTATGTATCTATGTCTAAACTTCACCCATCAGTGCACTTATTCCTGAATATTTGGGCATTCACTAATACTGAGACACTTTACAATCATGGTGGGTAATTCATCTCATCTACCATGTGTGGATTTGTGAGGAGAGGTACATTGCTTTGCTGCTATGATGTGCAGCTCATGTAATTCAATGTAACTCAGATGTAACTGTCACTCAAATTTTAGAATTTATGGAGGCCTGGAAAAAGTTTGGGAGGAGATTTAAAGTTTTTGAATCAAGCCTTTATTCAGAGTTCTCATTATTACTTCAGTTTATCTAATCGCGTCCTTATTTCAAAAAGGAGCTTTCAGCTGTTAAAGTGTATGAGAAGAGTAAATTTGGGCCCTGACTTCATATTTAATGATATTTATTGTTGTTATTCAGTCGCTAAGTCATTTCTGACTCTTTGTGACCCCATGAACTGCAGCATGCCAGGCTTCCCTGACCCTCACTATCTCCCTGTGTTTGCTCAGCTCCTGTCCAGTGATGTCAGTGATGCCATCCAACCATCTCATCGTCTATTGCCGCCTTCTCCTCTTGCCCTCAATCTTTCCCAGCATCAGTCTTTTCCAGTGAGTCATTTCTTCACATGAGGTGGCCAAAGTATTGGAGCTTCAACTTTAGCACCAGTCCTTCCAATGAATATTCAGGGTTGATCTTAAGGATTGACTGGTTGGATCTCCTTGCAGTCCAAGGGACTCTCAAGAATCTTCTCAAACACCACAATTCAAAAGCATCAATTCTTCAGTGCTCAGCCTGCCTTATGGTCCAACTCTCACATACATACATGACTACTGGAAAACCCATAACTGACTCTATGGACCTTTGTCGGCAAAGTGATGTCTCTGCTTTTTAATTCACTGTTTCGGTTTGTCATAGCTGTTATTCCCAGGAGCAGGTGTCTTTCAATTTTGTGGCTGCGGTCACTGTCCACAGTGATTGTGGAGCCCAAGAAAATGAAACATGACACTGTTTCCATATTATCCCCGTCTGTTTGCTATGAAGTGATAGGACCGGATGCCATGATCTTCCTTTTTTGAATGTTGAGTTTTAAGCCAGCTTTTTCACTCTCTTCTTTCACCTTTATCAAGAGGCTCTTTAGATCCTATTCACTTTCTGCCATTAACATGGTATCATGGGCATATTGGGGATTGTTGATGTTTCTCCTGGCAATCTTGATTCCAGCTTGTGCTTCATCCAGTTGAGCATTTCATGTGATATATACTCTGTATATAAGTTAAAGAAGCAGGGTGACAATACACAGCCTTGACATACTCCTTTCCTAATTTTGAACCAGTCTGTTTTTCCATGTCCAGTTCTAAATGTTGCTGCTTGTCCTGCACACAGGTTTCTCAGGAGGCAGGTAATGTGGTCTGGTATTCCTGTCTCATTAAGAATATTCCACAGTTGTGATCCAAACAAAGGCTCTAGTGTGGTTGATAAAGCAGAAGTAGATTTTTAGGGGGGGTAGGAATTCCCTTGCTTTTTTTTTTTTCTTAATGATATTAAAAACTTAAAAAATTTTTAATGTTTGAAGCAATTGTAGAGACAGTATCATTGTGATAAAATGATAAAGACAAAAGAATCCTTACTCTCTGGAGGCAGATGCTGAAGTATTTATGGAGTTATGGAGTTATAAGGTGTCTGGGATTTGCTTCAAAATAATGCAGTCCAAGGGGTCACAAAGAGTCAGACCCTCGACTTGGCACTGAACAACAGCAGTGCAGGGGGAGGGTGGGTGGAAAAGTGGATGAGGTATGTGTGAAAGAAGATTAACCATGGGTTGAAAATTGTTGAAGTTGGGTGATTGCTATGGGGATTAGGTGGAACATCATAGTGTTCTCACTATTGGGGGTATATATATGAAAATTGTCATTTTAAAAAGTTAAAATTAATAAAGGGTAGGGTATTATTAGGTATTCAGATTCATGACTGAGGGGAAATGTAGATTCTTTTCAAAGAAAATAATAGCCTTGATAACGTAAAATTTTTTTCTTATATCTAATCTGCAAAGAGCATTTATGCCGTTTCTGTAATTCCTTTTTATTTCTTGCTCTGGATTAAAACCCAAACTCCTAAACCTTCACTGTGTCTTTCTTACTTAACACTGATAAGCAATCTGTTGGACTTCAGAGCTGGGTAATTATATACTAAATAATAAAACCTAAAGTTATTGCATATCACATATAGTACAAATGTGTTACAAACTAAAGGCACAGTTCTCTATAGTACATGTGCAGGCCTGAAAATCAGTGTTAAATGGGCTTTGTAAGAAAGTGATGCTGTAGCTTAATGAGAATTTCTAAGGTGCAAGCGTTGCTCTAGTAGTACCTAAAGGGAAAGCTGCTGATGAGAAATGACAAAGCATTTTTAAATGTTAAATAGCATTATCAAGATGCTCTTTAACATTAAATGTTAATGCATATCAACAATGAATTAAATATCTGGTGAGGCCTTAACTAACAATCTTACTTTACTTTCTTTTCCTCCGTCTCTAATAGGAGTGTATCTTGCAGTCTTCTAGGATCTCCAGAGTGAAACTGACTGGACAGGACTCTGACTTGGACGGACCATGGAACAGTATACAGCAAACAGCAATAGTTCAACGGAGCAAATTGTTGTACAGGCTGGACAGATTCAGCAGCAGGTATGGAAGTAAAACTGCTTTAAACATCACAGCAATGGAGGTGATAATAGCACTACTCAGTTCTGGATTTGGGAAGCATCAGATCTTATGGTGGGTCTGGTGACTTGTGCTGAAGTACTTTTTGAAGATTGGATTTATTGTGATTTCTCTGATTTTCTCTGTTCAGAAGTCTATCCAGTCCATGACTACTTAGAATTTGATTTCATGGGTGCCCGGTTTAGTAAACTGCCCCCTTTTATCTTAGTAGAAATCAAAAATACCTAGTCTGTTTTCAGATGGACCTTTAAAGGGTGATTTTGTTTTCCTGGATTAAATTTGGTTGTTTCTCTTATTGATTAAGCCATCTTGTGGTCTGGTAAGGCTTTGGCCACAATAGACAAACCAAGATAGCTTCTAAGAAATCCACTATTTAATTTGATCCATCACAGTGTTTATTTTGAAAAGCTCTAGTGTAATATGAGGATATTAGATATCCACACTTAGGGATAAGCACATATTAGAAAGGATTTCTGCTGCTGGTTTATTCTTAATTAAGATAGGTTGCCTTCTTGAATTTATACACAGATTACATTTCCTGATGATTTATACCTGGGTTTGTTTTAGGAAAACTTCGCTTGTTTTTTCTCCCTAGAAGAAAATAAATTGATTGTGCATTGATTTGGCCTGTAGGCGAAAATTGGAAATGTTTTGTTTCCAAAATGGGACCTAGATAATATAGAAAAGTCATTAGTGGAGGGGTGGCGGGTGGACAGTGGGTGTTTTGATGGTGAGTTGTTATATCTTAATGACCAAAGGAAGGAGCTACTTTTTATTAAGAGATTAATTGTCAAAATTCCTTTGCTGGCTTTTCCTTCCACACAACTACAACTTCTTTCAGCTGCCTTGATAGAAAGGGAGATTCCACAGAAGACCCTCCATTCATTCATACCAGTGCCCTACTGAGTGAATGCTTGCTGTGTCTGAAGTTACTACTAGGGGTAATAAAAATTAAGTTGAGTCTATGAATACATTGTTTCTAAGGTAGTCCAACTGAGTAGTATTAATCCTAGTTTGGGGACATGAGAGCAGTGACCTCATGAAGATGTCTTTGGCTCATAGTGATTGCTTTATTCTTCCTTTCTGGTGATTGCATTCAAGTTCCAGAAGTTCTTCATTTTAGCTTCTAGGCTGCTAAAACCTGATGAACTATTTTGTTCTTGTGAAATCATTTAAGGAAATAAAAAGAACATTAAAATAACTGCATGCAGAAGGATCAAATGCTTACTTTTGGAGGGAAGGGCTGCATTAAAAATTTTTTGTTGTCAGCTACATCAATGTTTTTGAGTCATGGAAGTGTATTTCAAGTTCTGCTCTGTAGACAAAAGGCCAATGTCTGTAATCTGTTACCTTCAACAAAAAACTTCAGTATAGGGAGTCTCCAGTTTGAAAGTCCTGTGTAGGGTGGGGCTGTTGAAAGAAGACCCTTCCTCTCCCACAAGAGGTAAGGTGATCTCATGTCTTGAACTCTCCATTTCCTTCCTGACACATTTCAAGCTCTTCCTGTTCCTGTTCTCAGCAGCAGGGTGGTGTCACTGCTGTCCAGTTGCAGACTGAGGCCCAGGTGGCATCGGCCTCAGGCCAGCAAGTCCAGACCCTCCAGGTAGTGGTGCTCTCTCTGACTCTGTAAGCACTGCATGAACTTCTCTTTTCCTGGCTGGTGCTGTTTGTGGTAGGATCTCACGGAGGGACGCCAAAGCCAGCTGCATGACTTTGATGCTGCTAACTTGTCTTTGAGGCTTATAAGATACCAGTTTCCTAATGCTTTGTGCTTATCATGTAGTGATGCTGTATCAGTTTTCTGAAAAGTGCCATTTGGCTAGTATGTTTTTTGGGGAATACCTGAGAACAAATCAGTGAAGAAAATCTTACAAGTGGCATTAGAACCTATTTAGAGCTCAGATTCTGTAATAAGATTGCACAGTAAATTTTCCTGAACTTTGTATTATGATAATAGAGAAGAAAATGTATACATTTTACTAGGCTAGATTGTGCTTTATTAAAAGGACAACTCAGATATAAAATAATGATTGCATTTGACAAGAGTGATCTACTCACTGAATCTTGTTAATCTCTGCTATCCTCTCACTACTTTTCTTGCAGAAGTAATGACCTTATTATTGGATCTGCAGAGATTGCCCCATAGCTCTTGGTTGGACAAAAGAGAGATATGCTGTCTGTAAATCTTAGGTATTATAGCCACTATAAGAATTCCTACTTAAACAATGCAGTTTCTTAACATTACGTATGACCAAGTTAAATACCTAAATTGGGGTTATATTTGGGCCAGTTCCTGTGTAAACAGAAGAAGCAAAAGTCTTTTCTGTATTAGATTACTTTAACTAAAATGACCATATTTTTGAGAAATGGGCAAAGTTCAAGTAGCCTGCCTTTTTCCCTCTTCTGAATGGAAATGAGTAAGACCTAGAATGTAGAACTGGCATCTCACTTCACTATTAGTACTGCTTAGCAAGCATCCTGCAGTGAACTATCCCTTATTGAAGTCATTTCACTTTACCCTTTCAGCCCACCTCCCATACCTGCCACTCATAATGTTTGATAATATACAGCCAATTCTGAACATAAATTAACCTGAAATAAGCTGAGTTTGTAGGTACTCCCAAACTGTATTCAAATCTCAGAGTTCAGCAGCTTGATACTCATGTTTTTCATGCTTGCTTCATCTTATTGATACATAAAAGAGTATTGTCATTAACCACTTGTGGAATGGGAATGTAATATGCTCTTAACTGTATGGCTTCTTGTCTGATGCATGTATCCTTGTATCATCATATGTTGTAAAAACAGCAGGTTCCTTGGAGTCTCAAATGGTTCATCATGTGTATATATAGCCTGTCAGCAAAAGGAAAAGTTAAGATGATGGATAGCCAGAAAATTACAAAAACAGTTGCCTTAAAACTTGTTTACTTCTTATGCAGATTTTACTTAAAGAAATGGAAGCACTTTATGGAGCTAATGGAAACCTTCTAGGGCTGTGATTATTTGTGGAGAATTTTAAATACTTCTTTCAGTTAGTCATGCAATAAATATTTTTAAAAATCTTTCCTAATAGAGCATGTAGAAGCATTAGTATAGCAAAGGGAATTTGATTTGGGATGGGGAAATGAGAGGAGAAAAGCAGAGCAGAATCAGATTGTAAAGTCTTTAAAAAGTAAAGTGGAATTTGTCAATGAACAGTTTAACAAAACACAGAATTTGAATGTTCCTAAAGATTCCAATATGCTCATAGGGGTGGGGAGAGCTTAATATCTAATCTACTAATCTAGGACAGATTGATCTTTTAACTAATTACTTTATTTGAACATACTTTCACTGGCATTGAGAATGATTATCTCAGATATACAAATTTTCTTTTGATCTGTTACAAATTATTCCTCAAAACAAGGATAGAATCTGAAAATGAAAGTTTTGGATTTTCAGCTATTTTGTTGAACATTTCAATTCTCGTCTAAAGTGGTTTGGTTTTTGGCTTTCAGAATGCATTCAGATAGCTAGACATTTTTATATTGGGACTCAAGATGTTACAGCACTTTCAGTGCCCTGGGTTTTAGAGTGATCCATTTACTCATTGGAGATTGAAAATTGAGAGTTTTTTGGTACTTTGAAAATTTGTATAATTTTTATGTTTGTTAAAGCTAAAAAGAACTATGCAGATATTGCAGGGTGCAGTGTGAGCAGTCCCACCGCAAAAATTGTAAATTGACCAGTATATTTCTAGGCATTTTTATTAATGGGCTCCTTAAACAACCACAGGACAAGAATTCTCAGTGGTGAGGTAGAGGGTCAAAGGTACGTGTTTCATTTATGCTTGAGAAACTGCAGGGAGGAAGGGCATTCTATATAAGCTTTTGGAGCTGCTTGATACCTCACCTGAAGTCATTGCCAGGTACAGTTTGATTTACTCCTTCCAAGTTATTTAGAATTTGCACTCCAACCACCATCCCCACCATCAGCCCTCCCTCTCATTGCCTACACTCCAATCTTTACCCGAGACTATTCCTGGATATTGGACTAAAAAGGCAAATAGTCTGGATGATTTGATTAAATACTTCTCATGAGTTTAGCCTGTATTTGATGATAAACACCTTGTATCTATTGAGACTTCCCAAAGACTCTGCTTATACCCCATTTTATCTGACTTTCAAGTATTCAGTTTGGCATTTAGTTACAGATACTGTATTTTTGAAGATGACTACTTGAGGATGAGGACCTGAAATTATTTTCTTAGTGTCTTTCCTACTTTTTCCTCCTCTAGCAAGACAGCAGAGTAGTTGCAATGATTGTCTTTAGGTAGAAACCATTTTGTGTCTTAAGTTATTTCATTGTTCTCATTTTACTTTATTCTAGGTCCAGGGGCAGCCATTAATGGTACAGGTCAGTGGAGGTCAGTTAATCACATCAACTGGCCAGCCCATCATGGTCCAGGCTGTTCCTGGAGGACAAGGTCAAACCATCATGCAAGTACCTGTATCTGGGACACAGGGTTTGCAGCAGGTGAGTGGTATTAAAAAAAAAAAAAAAAAAGAATATTAGAATATCAGGATAGAAGTTTTAAGAAATAAGTTGTTACAAATTGAAAATTGATATTGTATTTAATTGCGTCTTACCTTCCTTTTGCATTTAGTTGCATTTAGTCAGTTTCCCACCTTTGTAGTGTCAGTGATAGAAAGCAGAGCTATAGAGAAATTGGACATCTCTGATAAGGACTAAGGTATTAGACATGATCTTGAATCAGTGTAAATAATATAAAAAGAGAGCTTGCTAAGTAATTTCAGTCATGTCCAGCTCTGCGACCCTAAGGACTATAGCCCGCCAGACGACTCTGTCCATGGGATTCTCCAGGCATCAATACTGGGGTGTGTTTGTTACCAAAAGAGTGTGGAGGGTCTGGCTGCTCAGCACTCAAAAGCCAATAAACAGGCCAGGTTGGTGGAGGAGAGACAGGGAAGCCTGCTTTGTTTCAGACGCTGGCAGCTAGAGAGGGAAGGGCGGCAGACATCTGCCCAAAGGCCGACTTCCTCCCCACCTCCCCGCCAGTGGCGACCGGTGAGGCAAGAGCTTTATAAACACAAGGAGGGGCTGCATACAGGAACAGCACAGCCGGCTCTGACAGTCTCTTCAAACTGGTCTTCAGTGGCCTAACCAGCATCATCTTGGTTGTTTCAGGCGTAGTTAATCTTCAGTTCCAGGGTCTGTGTGTTCCCATTTCTTTGTGGCCATTTCTTGGAATTGTGGCAGCCAGTGTCCTGGGTGCAGTCTGGTCATCGTGTAGTTAACTTCTCCACCTGGTGTTTTAGTATCTGTAAGACAGCTCAGAGGATATAGCTCAGGGTATTATCTATAGACCTTGAGAAAGAACTAAAGGTCCTTGACTGTGCCTAATGACTGCATTAGTAGCAGTAGTAGTCTCCTTTGACTGTTTTCATTTGTTTCCACATTTCTCACTTCTGTGTTTAAATTTGTTGTTTGACTAAAGTTTTCCACAGACAACAGGCAGGCAGAGGACGTGGTTAGGGGCAAGGACTAGAGTCCTGTTCCATTTCAGGTTGCCACGCCCTCCTCTAGGGGATCTTCCCAACCCAGGGATCAAACCCACATCTCTTACATCTTCAGCATTGGCAGTCAGGACCTTTACTAGTGCCACCTGGGAAGCCCTTATAAAAAGAGCATCTGGTTTAATAAAAGGCATCATCAGTGTGTCCTTTGTTGGCTCTTCTGGGCACGGAGGGGGGAAATTTATAGTCTGCTTTGGAGATTGTTGTTTTGGGTCAGAAATGTTATGCTTTTCATTTCCTTCCATGTTATTTATACCTTACCTAGCAAGTGATGAAAGTATTTCAGCTCAAGCCTATCACACACACTTCGAGCTATACTTAGAGCAAACTTTATAACCTTGAATATTTTAAAAGAACTGAAAATAAATAATAGTGGTTTTTTTTTTAGGAAGTTAGGACAAGAAGAAAATGAGCAAAAGATAGGTTAAAATTAATGAAGTAGAAGACTAACAAAAATGTAGAAAACTCAATAAAAGCTGATTCTTTAAACAGACATGTAAAGTAGTTAGGTAAATTCACTGGAAAGACTGATTCAGAAACCGAAAACAAAAGTAAAATTACAGGCATTTTTATCTTGTTGGCAGAAATTTAAAACACTGATTATATCCAGTGCTAGAATGGGTGTAAAGAAAATGAGGCACATTATTTTTGTTGATTTTCGAATTGTAAAGTCCTTTTGGAAGGTATCTCGCTCTTGAATACTTACGCCTTTTGATGTACCTGTCCCACTTTTGAGAATCTATTCTATAGGAAGAAAAGATAAATATGTAGGGAGAAATATACAAAGACATTTATTGCCGCATTGTACTAGCAAAAAAAAAAATTGTAACCTGAGTGTTTATTGGTAAAGAATCGATTGAATACATCATACTATATTCATAATGGTGTATTATGTTCTTGGACTTCCTCAGTGGCTCAGCAGTAAAGAATCTGCCTGCAATGTAGGAGACGCAGTAGCTTCAGGTTCGATCCCTGGGTTGGGAAGATCCCCTGGAGAAGGGAATGGCTATCCACTCCAGTATTTTTGCCTGGAGAACCCCATGGACAGAGGAGCCTGGTGGGCTACAGTCCATGAGGGTCACAAAGAGTCAGACACGACTGAAGTGACTCAGCACACATTATGTCCTTGTTAAAAAGGATGAACTGCTGACTTTGAGGGAAGGGTTAATAATGAAGTATTTTCAGTGAGAAATAATTTACAGAGAAGTATATGCTTAAGTCATCTCACCTTTGTATTAATAACTAATAACCAGATCCCACAGTGAGTGTGTGTGTGTGTGTATATATATATGTTTATGAACTTTTTACTAAAATTTTCTAAAGCTACTTACATCTTCTGTGATTTCATTAATATCTTCATTTTTCTGGAGTAAAGCAATATGAAGTGAAGTGAAGTCGCTCAGTCGTGTCCCTCTTTGCGACCCCATGGACTGTAGCCTACCAGGCTTCTCCATCCATGGGATTTTCCAGGGAAGAGTACTGGAGTGGGTTGCCATTTCCTTCTCCAGAGGATCTTCCCCACCCAGGGATCGAACCCAGGTCTCCCACATTATAGGCAGATGCTTTAGTGTCTAAGCCACCAGTTGAAAGAAAATTCAGCCATGCTCGATAATCAAACTTTGAAGTTTTGCATGTTCCCTTGTAGTTTTGTGCATATCTCTTGGACGTAGTTGTACACAAGCATATAGTTTTGTTTTTTTCTTGTTTTTGCTTTTATAGGTAAGGTTACTATAAATGTATTTGAATTTTATAGTTTTATTTTTTCACTTGAATTTAATCTTAGGGGAATATTTTTGGGAGTGGAGGAATTGGTTGGGCAAAGGGTAAGGTCATTTTTAAGGCTATCAGCATATTTTTGCCAAGATAGAGTTGTAGTCAGAATCAAAAATAGTTTCTACATTTCTCCATGCATAAATGTATGAGTCTTTAAATATATTTCAGTGTGTGTACTTGCCTCAATTTCACACTGCTATTTCATTTCTGTCCTTCCTCTCATTGCCTCCTCTCCAATCCCCCCACTTGACATGCCCTCTTCTCTGTTGAATAGAAACAGTGTGATACAGAGCTAGGAAGACTGTATCAGGAATGCAGTGACCTGAATTCATTTGCAGGTCTGCCATTAAACAGACTTTTTGATCTTGCCCAACTTCTTTGATTGTTGGTTTTCTCATTTGAAAAATGCAGTTTATATCAGGTGATTGCTAGCGTTCGTTTCAGCTGTAAATTCTGTGGATTTTGTAGGATTTCTCTTTTTGGGGGGCCTTTAAGAGAAAACATTGAAAAGGTTATCTTATTCCCCTCACTCCAAGAAGCACTGTAACTAATCAAACCATCTTGGAAAAATTATTTTCTTTTAATGTTGTATGACATGACTCTAGGTATGATTCCATAGCCTCCCATAGAGCACTTAAAATTTCAATCCATTTTTGTTAGAGGTTACTTTAGTGTGTGTGTTTTTTTTAAATAACCATGTCTTTTAGAAGTGTACTTCACCTTTTTTTGGATTGTATCTTCTGTTTTAGAATTCCAGTGAAACCTATGCTCTCTCCTTAGATTTAAGATCCATGGCTTGATACAGACAATGGAACTAAAATAGAAAGCCAAAAAATAGATGTAGGAATATTGGAAATTGGTACATAACAAGAAATAGTATGAAGTATCAGTGAAGAAATGGTTCAAGAATGGTATCAAAAAGGAAAATTGATCTCTACCTCATACTGTATCAAAAACACTTGCTAGATCGATTACAGATCTAACTATAGAAAAGGCATACTTGCAAACTTTTATACTCTGTTCATAGGAATATTTTCTTTGTGACGTGGGGTAGAGAAGGATTTCTTAAAAACCAAAAAAAAACCCAAGAAACAATTTTATAACTTTAAAAATTTGGTGTATGTCAAACTATATCATAAAATAAAGGTAGAAGACATAATTTGGAGAAGATATTTTTAACATTTAATGGGGTTTGTGTCCAGAATACATTTTTAAAAATTCTCTATATGTGTTGATATGAAAGTAACAGTCGAATAGAAAAGGGCAAAGAATATGAATAGATAGAAGAGGAAACCCTATTGACCAATAACAGGTATTCCTTGCTATCCAAAAACAGGTAGAAATAGATCCAGGTAACCAGATAAATTTCTTGTTTGTTTATTTACCAACACTTTCTAATTTAATTTGTTAAATTTCAGTGTTGACTGCAGGGGTATCTAATATGATAATACCCCTTTCTGTACCAAATCTTTTAAGGATTTTGTGTGTGTGTGTGTATTTATATAGAATTCCATATATATATAATTCAGCTGGAAAATGTAGAAATTACTTAGTAGTTTTTTTTCAATATTTTGTTATAAAAAACTTCAAACATAGACAAAAACAAAGAGAATGAAACGGCGAATCCTCATCACCCATTTTAACACAGAGACTAGTATTTTAATGTTTAAATCTATTTTCATCTATTTTCCCTGACTCAAGGATTATTTTGAATATATACACCACCATTTCACCTATCAAAAATACTTCAGGGTATATTTTTAAGTGAATAAGCTTTTAGAAATTATTCCCGATGCCAGCAATATCATCCTTAATATCATCCAGTATCCAAACAGTGATCAAAATTGCCCAGTTTCATAAATGGAAAACAAGCTGTCTCTAATTCATAAGAGAGCAAAACAGGACTTGTGTTTTTCTCCCTCTCCAGAGCATTTCCTGCCTGCTAGTGGAGTTTGAGTAACTAACACTCCAGGACCAATGGAGACCAGTGTCAGCAGGGCGCTAATCTCGGTGTTCTCTTCTGCAGATACAGTTGGTCCCACCGGGACAGATCCAGATCCAAGGTGGGCAGGCCGTGCAGGTGCAGGGCCAGCAGGGCCAGACCCAGCAGATCATCATCCAGCAGCCCCAGACGGCCGTCACTGCTGGCCAGACGCAGGTAACGCCACTGTCTCTCCACGGCGTCCACAGGAGCACAGCTGCTTTGGGAGGGTCAGAACCGGTAGAGCATTTCACATGTAGTAGAAATGCAGAAGAAAACTGTCGCCAACATGCCTTTTTCCTAAAAAGGACTGCGTGGTCCTTTTTTCTTGTGGTGTCTTTGGAATGTATTAAATCGTGTCATGATTTGTGTCCTACAGACACAGCAGCAGATTGCTGTCCAGGGGCAGCAAGTGGCACAGACCGCTGAAGGGCAGACCATCGTCTATCAGCCAGTTAATGCCGATGGCACCATCCTCCAGCAAGGTACGAGTGCCGGCATTTCTGTGGGACTTTGGGGGGCATCCTGTTCATCTTGAGCAAATGACTGCTTTAGAAATTGTCTGGTGACCTCTATACAATGTACTTTTAAAACAACAACAAAAATGATTTCCTTTAAGTCTCCATTGATTGTTAGTTCTTTGTCACTAATATGTGACCAGTGTTGATTCCATTTGTAGGAGAACTACAGTAGTTGTTAAAGACAACCACTATGACCCTAGGGATTATATAAGCTTTTTATTCTTTCAAAGAACTGTTCTCTAAATGGAAGATTAGAAATACAGAGTTTCTTTAGTGGTAGAGAAATACATCACTGCTGCTTTTTTTCTTTTTCCCCCGAGCCACTTCATTATTAATTTATTCCAAAAGACTTATATGACCACTGTGTATGCAGCACATTACTGAAAACAGTTTTCTTCTCAAAGACACTCAGTCTAGTAAACAAGATATGAATGTGACCAAATAAATACCACCTTATTAGTGGTATGTGTTCTGTGACTGAAGGTTTGTCTTGTGATTAAAATTTGGCAGTATACAAGATCCAGTGAGTGCAGGCAGCGTGCTCTCCTATGACTCAGGAGAGAGCCAGAATAGGCATAGCTCAGAGAATGATGAACAAATCCACAAGTGCTGCTGTTGAAGTTTGGGGGCTTGGCATGCCTGGTTTAATTTTAAGATTTAGTCCTGTAGCTGTCTCGTTGTCAGTTTAACCAGTTTTTTAAGAATCTTCATCCGAAGCAGGTCACTTATATAAAAACAGTGGCTATAGCTGAAGTCAGAGTGACTCATAGAAGGGGAAGCCTCCAAAATATTTGGTCACCCATTGAAAACTTTTTCAACTCAGTATGGGTAGTTTTATTCAGAACTAGATCCCATGTAGCTATTAACATGTCTAAACTTGTGATTACTTGGATTATATACAGCAGGCAAGACAGAGAATGGAAGAGTGCTTTTTCTCCCCTTGTGCTAAAAGGGCATGTTTTTCCAGGATTAATAAGTATGTGCCAGATAGAAGAGGGACTAACTGTGTTCCCTTCTTTCTGTATACCTGTTTTTTTGTTTGTTTTATGTTTTATTTTCTTAAAGTTACAGTCCCTGTTTCAGGCATGATCACCATCCCCGCAGCCAGTCTGGCAGGAGCGCAGATTGTTCAGACGGGAGCCAACACCAACACAACCAGCAGTGGGCAAGGGACTGTCACTGTGACACTACCAGTGGCAGGCAATGTGGTCAATTCAGGCGGGATGGTCATGGTAAGAAAATTGATTTTTCATTTCATTGTTCTTCTCTATAGTTTATTTTTCTATATATCTTTGTCTTCGAAAATTTCTTCAGCTTGTGTTTTTAAAATCTCTTATGAAGCTTGTGTATAATCCTGACCTCTTGAGACTGAGATTAATCCCTTAAGACACAGTGGTCCACTTTTACAATAAACATTACAGTAAACCATAACTCATTCTGTGTACCTGCTGTGTGCCAGAGACTAAGTGCTAGAGATATAGCAGAAGAAAAGCAGATGTAAATATTTGCTTTTCTGGAAACTTATTCATAATTCATTTGGAGAAGGAAATGGCAACCCACTTCAGTATTCTTGCCTGGAGAATCCCACGGACAAAGGAGCCTGGTTGGTTACAGTCTATGGGGTCGCAAAGAGTTGGACACAGCTGAGCGACTAACACACACACACATTCATAATTCCAATGAAGAGAGTTATAGACTACTAATCTTTGGGAAGTAGAAAGTGTACGGCCCAAAGTGGGTGAAACAAAAGTGTTCAGAATTAGAAAGGTTGTAGTCAATAGAGAAACCAAAAAAAATGTGTGATGTAAATATACTGGGAAGAGGGGAAGGAGAGTTGACTGTAAACTCATATGTCAAAATAGGGTGTCAGTGGACATACCTAAAATGGGTAAGCTAAGAAAGAACAGGTATTAGAAACCTACACAGCAGTGGAGGAGTCCACTGGAAGAAACAATATAACCATCTAAAGTTGTTATTATTGGAAAGGTAGTGGAATAGGGTTTGTTCCTGAAAATATGGGTTGAATTGTATAGTAAGTTAACAATTATGTAACTAAACGCAGTTAGCAGCACTTGGTCCATTTGAACCTTTCTGTTTCCCTTGTGCTTTTTCTGCCTGTGATTACCGTTCATGACCATTAGATGGCAGCAGACATTCTTAGAAAATGGAGCTTTGTGTGGACAAAAACCTGGACATGGTTATGTTGTTTCTCAGTGTGGGTCCTTGACCCCCTATTACAGAATCATCTGGAAAATTTGTTTAAAATGCAGGCCTTAAGTGTAAATGTTCTCCAGGAATCTGCATTCAACAAATGCCCTATAAAGCTACTCGTCTTAGCATTCAGAAGAACAGGGACCAAGAAATTGTTTCCCATGTCCATACTCATGTCACTACTTAATAAGCCCTGATTTTTCTCTTCACACAGATGGTACCTGGTGCTGGCTCTGTGCCTGCAATCCAGAGAATCCCTCTCCCTGGGGCGGAGATGCTTGAAGAAGAGCCTCTCTATGTCAATGCCAAACAGTACCACCGTATACTTAAGAGGAGACAAGCCCGGGCTAAATTAGAGGCAGAAGGGAAAATTCCAAAAGAAAGAAGGGTATGTATAACACTGGGACGGATACAGGATGAGAACAGCAGGGTTCTACTTCTGAAATAACCTTTTATGTGGTTACTTTCCTTGAGTACCTTCCAGACTTTGAAGTTAGACAGCTGTTACCTTTTGTAGTGGTACTTATTATTGCTGTATGGAGCTGCAACTATAATATTTAAAAAATAACTGCAACATAAATAGCGTTTGCTGCTGTTATTTTTTGTCTTTAAATCTTCCGTAAAGTTCAGAGGTGGGCTTCCCTGGTGGCTCAGACAGTAAAGAATCCACCTCCAGTACAGGATACCCAGGTTTGACCTCTGGGTTGGGAAGATCCCCTGGAGAAGGGAAAAGTGGCTACCCACTCCAGTATTCTTGCCTGGAGAATCCATAGACAGAGGAGCCTGGTGGGCTACAGTCAATGAGGTTGCAAAGAGTCAGACACGACTGAGCAACTAACAGAAAGTGCAAAGATGGATTGTCTTAGGCTGTGATAATCCTCAAGACCGTTTTCATCCTCTTACTGTCCTGATTTCTTGGTATGCTGTCCATAGTCCAAGATGACTGCCTGGGCTCTAGCCAAGGTGCAAAGGGAGTAAGGAAACTTTCTTTCAAGGAAACATCCAAAAAGTTCCATAATCACATTAGCCAAAATTTAATTACATGGCCACACTTACCTGCAAATAAGGCTAGGACATGCCATCTCTTTAATGAGACTGTACCAGCTAAAATTCGGTTTGTTACCAAAGCAAAAGGGAGGATATATATTGGGAGGTAGGTGGTGATCTCTGCTATATCTTTGGGGAATCTGTATGTAGTTATTACTCATTTGGCATTTACATTGTTATGATAGATAGATATGGTTGGTTTGCTGCTGTTTGTGTTTTCTCTAAGATTTCTCCATAATACAAGGTCATAATTGCCCCTGGTGGCTTTGATCACAGCCGTCCTAAACTTTTGAGCATTGGAGAGAGCTGTGCTGGTTTCAGCTAGTAACTTGGTTTCTCTTGTTTTATTTTTTATTTATTTATTTTTTGTTTTCTCTTGTTTTAGAAATACTTGCATGAATCTCGGCACCGTCATGCCATGGCACGGAAGCGTGGTGAAGGTGGACGATTTTTCTCTCCAAAGGAAAAAGATAGTCCTCATATGCAGGTAAGAGGAGTTATACCTTTTATTCTTAGCTTTATTGCCTTGAGTCTTCTTGGGTGGAAGCCTTCACAGTGTCCCCTTGCTATTTTCACACTAGGAACTAATCAGTCTCTAAACTGAATGCAACATTGTGTATCTTGGAGTCTCTTTCTTCTTAAAAGAACTAAGGTCTTTGATCCAGTGGCCTTTTTTCCTCTCAGTCTTTTCCAGTTACTACTATTAATTCCTTCTTGAAATTCTCACTTTTTTTGATTTTCAGAGAACAAGTTTATTCCCTAGTTTAGTAGTAGCAGCAGCCTAACATTTAACTGCTGTGTGCCAGCCATTACGTTAAGCACTTTCATAAGCATTTTATCACTGAATCTTTACAACAGCCTCGACCCCCATGAGGTAAGAATTATAGTTTCCATTTTACATTTGAATGTGAGGTTTAGAGGGGTTAACTCATTTGCCTACAGTAAAATATCTAATAAAATGGTACAATTGAAATTCATACCCAGGCTGTGTAATTCCAGAACTTAGTCTATAACCATACTGCTTCTTAAACATCTAATTTCACTGATTATATCTTACTGGCATTTCTAGTCAATGTGTCCAAAGTAAAACTCTTGGTTTTTATTTTTTTTTTAAACCTAAACCAGACACTCATCTCAATAAGTCACATGTCCCTTCACCCAATTATTAAAGCTAGAGTTGCCCAGTTTTTGAAGTCCTCTTGGTTTTAACTCTAAACTATACTCTGAATCAGCTTACTTTTCCCCTCCCAACTGCTGTCAGGCTAGACTAACCCTCTCTTCTTTGCTTCAGTTAAGGCAACAGCTGCCCAGTCTCCCTACTTCCCCTCTTGTGCCCCCCCAGTTCACTCTCCGCATCTTAGTGTGTGTATCATATCACATCACTAGCCTGCTCCCTTCCACTCCTGCCCTTTTGCATTTGCACGTAGACTAAAATTGAAAGCGCTTACATGGCCAGCAGGGCCCTGTAGCATCTAGCTCCTGTCCGCCTTTGGCTTTATTTCCTCCTGCTTCTAGGTCTTTATGCTCTTGCTCTACTGCTCAAGAACCTCTCTCTTTAAAATAGTTTGTCTGTAAAGCTTTTCATGCCATCCTTTTGCATAACTGTCTCCATATCTTCTAGGTCTTGGTTTCAATCTGAGAGGCCATATCCAGAGGTCTCTTCTACTCCATTATTGTCTCACATCTTCCTTTTGAGTGCAGTAATAATCGTTTTATTTGTGTGATTGTGCAGTGGTTGTCTACTCTAGACTATAAGCTGTATAGAATCAAAAATTGTTGTTCCCCGTTGTATTTAGCATAATACCCGTTCAAAAACGAGCATCAGTCAATTTTTGTTGAATAGGTTCCTCCCATTATTCTGTTCCTCCCATACAGAAGCTTTATTCTGAAGACCCATCACATTCTAGCTTCACTGTTGTCCAATCCATCTTTATAAGATAGTGCTTTTTTAATTGCAGTGCTTAGTGTATGGTGAGAACTCAGTAAATGTTGGTTATTGGTCTTCCTCTTTGATCAAGACTCAGCCTCTTGCCCTACCACCCCTAGAAATGTTTCAGCTTTTTCTTGGGTCATGCCAATTGAGGCTTCAGAGCCTTGGTGTGGAGGAACTGAAGGTGGTTGTTATGTAGTGGGGTTTTGTGTGTATGGTAGCACTACATGGCTTGCAGGATCTTAGTTCCCCGACCAGGGAGTGAATGGAAGCCACAGCAGTGGGAGCACCAGACCCACCACTGGACTGCCAGGGAACTCCCAAGGACTGATCTTCATCTTAACAGTGCAGGTTTTTTGTAAAAGGCAGGCAGCAGGCAGAGTTTAGTGGAAAGAAGATTAAGTCGGAGCCAAGAGATTTGAGAAGTAATTTTTGCTGGGCTTGTCACTAACTTTGATTCTAGTCCAGGCTTCAGGTATATCTGCAAAATGAGTGCATTAAGTAAATAAAATCCAGTGTCCTTCCCAGCCCTGCCAAGTGATCAGTATTTAAATAATGAAAATATACAACATGACTTGGTTTCTTAGGTCTTTTTTTAGCCACCTAGGGATCCTTAATCCCTAAGTGTAGAGCACAGCACGGGTGTTAAAAAAGGGAGATACTCTCAACTCTGGAGTGTTCAGTCAATGGAGTGCCAGGCCAGACTTGAAATGTTTTTCTAAGAATAAAGTTTATTGTCTCTTCTTTCCTAATGGAATTGCATTGCAGTCCATGTATGCAGACATAGTGTTTGTGTACTTCCCTTGGTGATAAGTAGTGAGAGCCATGAATTCCCAGTTGCTTTTGCAAAGGACTTTAATTGTTACTGTGCTTTCTTTGTAGGATCCAAATCAAGCAGATGAAGAGGCTATGACACAGATCATCCGAGTGTCCTAACCCCAGGCCATGTGATGGAGCTGATCAAGGCCATATTCCTCACACTGTTTCCCACTGTTCCAGGGAAATTGAACAACTCTTCCAATGGGACACTGACGATCACATTCTGCCCTTTTCTACAGGACAGAAACCACTTAGTTTTTAATAAGTGGCTCAGTATTATAATTGCAAGGATGTCTGGCAAGCTGAAGTTGCAAGCCTTTGTCTCACCCTTTCAGTCAGGACTTATCTCAGACTGTTGCTCACATTGACATTTCATGGATTGGGATGATGCAAGGGACTCATGCCAGCCCAGCAGTACACACATAGCACTTGTGTTGACTGGTGATGCCAGCCATCTGAGCAGAGGAGAACAACTTTCTCAACCTAAACTTTGGTTGGGGAAGCTGCAGCCCATTACTTCCCACGGATTCTGAACAGCACCCATCCCTCTAATGGGAGATCTCAGACTGACTGATGGACCTTTTGCATTCAGAGGTGGTTTCCAGGCAAGGAAGCTCCATCTCATGATATGGAAACAATAAATTCTCTGAGATACATTCATCTAATCTGTGGTAATAAGAATCTCTTCTACTCAGATGATAGGTTGGGATTTTTGGACTCCAGCCAAGAAAAAGCTAACTCTGGGGATAGAATGATAAAAGATTCAAGTGCTAAAAACATAAATTGCTGGATCTCTCAGCTTTCACAAGATGTGGTCTACTTGTCTGTCTGGTGACAGGTCATATGGACCATAGTTCTTGCTGAGGCTACTTGTAAGATGATTTAGAGGGTACTGGACCTTGAAACTGCCTTTCTTTAGTAGAAAACAAAATTATACAACTTCTGTGCTGAAGTACTGAGGACATGTATAGTAACTCCAAAACAGCAACACTAGAAATTTTCAATCATAGGCTTTGTGACAGCATTTGGGGAATAGAAAGGTTCGTGCGTGTTGCAGTCCAGAAGGACAAAGAATAGTATATATACCCTTGTGATGTCATATAGCATGATTTGCCAGTGGATGGATGTCTGGGATGGATCATTATGATGAAGAGAAGAATTTACATTTATACTCTAACCTTTTAACAAGCATGGAAAGGAAGACTGAGATTTGACCCTTGACAGTTTCTGGAAAGCACTGTTCAGTCAAGCTGGCCGGGAACGAATCCAGGTTGCCTGCTGGAGTGTGAGGTGGATGCTGGCTTCAGTCCTGCTGTGCTGTGTGCTGGCCCCAGAGAGTGAACATTCTCATTCTTCCATGGCAGCTGATTCTTTGGTACCAGTTTCCGTTCGTTTCCCTTTTTCTCCATAGGTCTTGTGCAGAAAGGCTTTCACTTTGCATCCATGTTCAGGGGATCAAGTGCAGACTGGAGATAAGAGATTCCTGCAGGGTCAGGAGCAGGGCGGAAGCCCCCAGAGTGGGCTGTGCCTCAGACAACCTCTGAAAAAAAAAAATGTTTCTTTTTTAGATGTGGAACCCTGGGAGAACTAAGGTGATTTCAGAAGAGCTGCTGTTTTTTTCTTTTTTTAGAAACAAGAAAAACTTTGTAATTCTTTCAAAGAACATTTGGTTTTGATTTCAGTACCAAGACTAGAGATTGGCTCTTCCTTTGATATCACTCTGGCTGTATTAAGAGGAAAAAGAAATTAAACCCACCAAAGAAAACATCACAAAAGGAAATCAGTGTAATGGTACAAAATAGAGGTACAGAGCTGTGCAGAGAAAGCAGGAAGTGAAGTATCTCCCTACTCCCTTGAGTCTACTCATCTGTCCTGGCTTCCAGATGTCAGAAGGGGTTGACCCTTTGGTGTTGACTTTATTTGGTAAGCCCCAGGTTCTTCAGATGACAGATGACTAAAAACAATGAGGAGTTTTTATCCTTTGGTTTTGTTTAGGAGTCTTCAAGATGCACAGTTCAGAAAGAAATTCCTCAGACCTAATTTCTAGTACTTAAGCCAACAACAACAGTTCTAAAATGCTATTTATTTGTGTCTGTAAGATTGTACATATACTACCAACCTCATACTGTTGTGGATTTTTTTCTCACAAGTTTGGGTTTTTTTTTTTAATGAAATGCTTCAGTTGTCATTTTGTCATTGCATTTCAGATAGCTCATGACCCTTTTATTGTGGTCATTTTAGCACATAATAATCCACAAAGTGGGGGTGAGGTTTGGATTTTTTTCTTTGTAATTCTTTTATCCATTTGTCCTTGTGACTGTAGTGATGCAAAAAGAGTAAATGGATGAGTGAATAATTGGTTTAATACATAGTTATTTTACTTAAGTGCTTTTTTTGGCAGAATAATTGTAAATGTATATATTTTAATTGCACTGGTACATTGAACATGTCAGTATCTATACCACTGGACCAACAGAGCGTTTTTAGAGCATTTTTCTGGCTAATGGATATCTGGTAATAATGTCTTGATTTTCCTTTGGGACTCAACTACATAGAAGGGTTTGGGTTTTTTTCCCCCCTCAGCAGTGGAAGAAGCACAGGTGATGGATCATTGATGTCATTTCAATTGTTATTTTTTAAAATAAATATAAAAATGCTAAAAAGTGTCTTGAATTTTGAGGAGTCCACATCCCATGGGTTCTGGATTGTGTTTCTTATGTATTGCCATCTTTGTAAACACATGTACTCTATGGACAGTGTCAGACTTGGAGCTGTGTGTTGCCCCTTCACCTCTTTTTCTGCAGTTTTGACCCTCCCACTCTACTGAGGAAATACTACTGTCACCTGTGGGTTGACATTTATTTGATATTCTCACTGGACGTGTTCATTAAGAGGCAATGATTCCATGAGTAATCACCAAAACAGCATAGACACGTAGAACTAAACACAGTGAAGATGTGATTTTTAATTTCTTATGCAGAAAACACGCATTTCTGTGATTGTTAAAATTCCATAATATACTCATCCTTTTATTGCTTAGTGTTTTAACAAATAAGAACCACAGACCGGCAACCTCAAATAGTACCTTTTCACACAAAAGTGCTAGAAAAACGGCTCGGGAAATACTCCCGATACCGAATGACCTCCTGGCAGACAACAAAAATGGAAGAAAAGGACTTCCTGTGTTAAACAGCCTTGTTCAAACAATATTAAATTTAAAAACCATTCTAAGTTTGCTTTTGTCAGATGCCTAATGGAATTCGTCCTTAGAAACTAAGATGACCCAACTTTCAATGCCAGTGAAATGGAAAGGACCGCCCCTTCGATATGTTTCCCAATTGATCAGTTTCATTGTAGAAGCATTTTCTTGTTTCAAACACTTAAAATGTCAAGTTTTGCTCCTTTGAAGACACCGCCCAGGCCGCCTTCAGTTCCGTCTCCCCGCCCACCGGAAGCCGGAGCTAGCGCTAAAGCGCTGAAAAACAAGGGACCGGCCCCAAGGGAGTCCGCACTGATTGGTTGGTGGGAGGGACCAGTCAGGGCCGTCGTTAAGGATTGGCTACGACGCGGAAGGAACCCCGTTTCCGGTAACTCGACAGGCGAGCCTGCCGCCGCCGCCGCCGCCGCCATGGCAACCGCCAAGCGGCTGGCGGCGCCGCCTCTGTGGCCAGTAGAGGCCAGATTGGCGGCGCTGCTTCCCGACCTACTGGTCTTCAGGAAGCCCAAGGGATCCGAACCCGAGCTCGCCACGGCCCAGGGCGTCCTCCTTGGCGTCCACGTCACGGGTGAGGGCGAAGGGAGACGCGTCGCTCTCCCGACCTGCTGGAGGGCTTCTGCTCGTCTGGGCCGCGGCGGTTACGGGCGTGGCCCCGGGGTGAGCTAAGGCGGAGTGTGTCTGCACTTTGCGCCGCCTCCGCCGAAAACTAGAGGGCCATTTGCAGAGCAGGACGCCTTTTCGGACCACCTGGCGTAGCCCTGGAATTCACTTCAGCGACGATGTAATTGAGACACAGGGGAAAGGATTTTTCAGGGTCATATGGCAGGCTTTGAACCCAAGTTTTTCCCAACCTTGAGCGTTTTCCATTAAATATTCTGCTTCAGTGATTCTATTTGCTCAGTTAATTCCTAATTGGGGTCTGTAAGTAAGAGCCCGCCATTGTTCTAGTTGAGACCTAGCAGAGGGGCTTCGCAGGTGGCGTTAGTGGTACTGCTTGCCAGTGCAGGAGATGTAAGAGACCTTGGTTTGATCCCTGGGTGGGAAAGATCCTTAAGAGGAGGGCACGGCAACCCACTCCATTATTGTTGCCTGGAGAAGCCCATGGACAGAGGAGCCTGGCGGGCTGTAGCCCATAGGGTCATAAAGAACTGGAAAGGACTGAAGTGATTTCACATGCATGCACGACTGCTATGAGTAACAGATATTTATGGAGCTGAGTGTGTCACGGATATGAAAATGAGTGATTCAGGTGTCTGTCCTCGAAAAGCTCTCCATAAGTTTTCCATAAGGCGTTAATCCATTCTCATTGTCAGTAGTTTCTCTATCCCTCACGTGGGGCAGGAGGGATCCCACAGTATCCTTGGGCCAGGAAGCCTTAAGAAGGTGTAATGGGAAAGCAGTAGCTGGATTCCAAAGAAAAAGGGGTGGATGAATCGTCTTCACCGTGGGTGGCTCCTGGAAACGGGGGAGGGTGACCCTCTGGGCTCCCAGAGGGAGCAGCAACCAGTCTGGCCCTGAGTACTTGCTCAGTAACATCATGTTAAATGATAATGAAATGACTCATCTTGAAGAGATCTTTGGTTTTACTGGCCTGATGTGTGGAGGGAATAGAGCCTAAAAGTTTAGGATTTGCAGCTAACAGTGATTTTTGCTTTGGTGGTCAGGGTTTACAGCATTAATGGACAGGTTCAGCCTGAGCTGCAAGTTGGAACATGACATGGACAGACTGGCCCGCATCTTCAGTTATTACATTAGTGACATCGTGGAGCGTGAGTGACTATTGGGGGGGGGGGGGAAGAGGGGTGGTGCTGGGGCCCTGAGGATTTGTAACAGAAGGGGGCCTGGGGTACTTTAAAATGTATGCTAAAGTGACATCCTTTTAGTGTCACTCATCCTGAAT